TCACTCCCCGGCCGAAGTACAATTAAGCATCTCTATGTTCAATCTGCATTGTCTTCCATTTGTCACGGATCTTCTCCACAGCCGCGATCCTTTCATCCCCATCTACTTCCAACAAACGGGTGTTTGGCCGCATCTTCATCTCCACAAAACTCTCTCAGCCTCCCTCTGTTCTTCAAGATACGTCGCCTAAGCTTCTTTTATTGCCATCTGTTCCTGGACCTGTTCCGGCTGCGACTTCTTCATGACGCTGAGTATCTTTCGTGTAAAGCTCTTGAGAAACAATCCACTGGTTTGTTCCTCACGAGTATAATTCTTCTTGTCATCCGTGCTAAGCTCCCCATGTTTAGTCCCCCATCTCTCCATAGCTATATCCCATCGCTTTTGACCATGGCAACAAGTCCTTCGTCAGGTATTCGAAGCCTGCCGTCGTCTAGGTTCGTACTGTACACACCGCCAGGCGAGATGGCATCAGGGCTCTCTCTGGTATTTGATGTCCGGAACTGCTGGCAGGCCGGCTTGAAGATCGTGCGCTTGAGATGCTCGATCTCACCTATTTTTAGCAGAGCTTCGCATATCTCCTCAAGTCCAGAGTATTGGGGATCCATAATCATCAGGAGAGCCCATTTATGCGTGACGCCGTGATGTATCATCTGCCCAGAAATAGCCATCTTGAGGTCGAGAGGGTTACAATGGCGAAGGGCTAAGCACGAAAGGGAAAGGAGGCTGTTTATATACCCATGTTTGGTCGTGATTGCTGCGCCAGATTGGCAAAGACGAGTAGAACAACCATGACTCAATGTTCGCCCTGAGTTGTAGCATCTTTGATGAATACACGTCACTAGTATTAGACCATAGGTAAGTCAAAGAGGGTGTACTTAGAGCACGGAAGGGTTGGTAGATGTGCAGGAGATTCGGTGCGCGGCGTGAACATCAACGCGGGCCTGACACAACACAAGCCAGAGGGACCGCAAGAGGTATGCGCGAGGAGAAGACATGTTGATGATCAAGTGGCCATAATCAACAAGATGAAGATAGACCGACGAGAAACGTTATGTCAGTCGACAGATGCACAGTATATGAAAGTGTACCAGCAAGAGACATGTCAGATACGAAGGTTGTGGAGCGGTCGTGAAGTGATGCAATTGTTTATTGAGACAACTGCCTTAAGCAGTCAGTGGTATGAGAAGCGCCTATTCCCTAGAATGCCCGAAGTTTTCATTCAGATACAGGAGCCCACACCGTTATTTTCGTGCCGACGCCAATGTAATCATTCCACGACCCAATCATGAACTCATGATAACGCTCTAGTGCTTCATGGAAGACGCCCTCCTCTTGCGGGCCTCCTCGTGTGCGGCCTTGGCGTCGTTGATGCGCTTGGAAAGGATCTGAGCGTACTCGTTCTGCAGTATCGTTAGCCTCTGTCTTGTTTGAAGTGGACTGGTAAAAACATACGGCAGCATCCTTGGAAGCCTCCGCGCGACGGCGCTTGAGTGCGAGCCTGTGACGCTTGTGCTGCAGACGCTGAGGAGTAACCAGACGCTGGATCTTGGGTGCCTTGGTGTAGGGCTTTGCGCCCTCCTTCTTGGGGACGACTTCACGGCGAATGACGAACTTGCGGACCTACACACGCAATGATTAGTACTCAAACCTTCAAACTTTCTAGCTCACTTCTTGTTGCTCAGACTCAATGCGCTGCTTGTAGCAGGATGAGCGAGACTCAATCCGCTATGCGAAGCAGGATTGGCGAAGAAGCTATGAGAGAACTCACATCATCTTCCTTGCTGAGACCGAAGAAGCGGCGGATCTTGGTGGCGCGCTTGGGACCGAGGCGCTTGGGGTGGACAATGTCGGTCAGGCCGGGAATGTCCTCGTCGCCTTTCTTGACGATGCTGAGGGCAAGGACGGAGAGGTCCATGCCGACGATGCATCCGCGGACGGACTTCCTCTTGCGCTCACCAGTGCGGCGAGGGCGGTAGCAGGAGTGGCCGTCGGAGAGCAGGAGGCGGACACGGGTTGGGTGCATGACACCCTGCTTCATCGGGAAACCTTGCTTGTCGTTACCGCCGGTGATCTTGACGATGTATCCCTTGAACTCGTCGCCGATGCTGTCGGCGGGGACTTCCTGGCCCATGCGACGCTCCATGAAGACGCGGAGCTTGCGCTCATCGTCGACCTCGATCAGCTTCTGGGTGCCATTGTTGGGGTAGGAGATGTTGAGCTTCATCTTGACTGCGGCGTCTCGACGGCGTGTGGAAGCTGCAACGTTAGTAGATTGTCGTGGTGTTGTCGGGGTCGTGGCCTCGAAATTAGAATTATCGAAATGGGCCCTCGCTTCGTAGTGCGCGCTAATCGGAATGGAGATCATCACGTGCTAGCGCGACTTTCAGGTACGGCCCGCGGGTAACTGCGACTAACAACTTGATGCGTTTTATCGGATGTGGGCATATTCGCATTTTTTTCCTTTGCTCATTCGAGCCCGTTATGATGTAGGGTAAGAATTTGCGGTACGATGTCTCATGCTGAGCTCTGCGCGGGTACATGGGCAATTCATAGCGAAGACGCAGAGACATGGAGTACTTAATAAACATTTGCATTACATTGCCAGTGTTCTGGCGTCGCAATGCCGGGTGGGCTCTGGCTTCGCAATCCAGACTGACATTGCATATACATGTTCACGGAACAGACTGGAGCATGCGAAGTAAAGTTGTACTTTAACGTATTTGCGCTATTCGAACGGGATATCATACTATGCCATGCCCCTTAGACTCATTACAAACAGAGTCCTACCAAAAGTATCCCCACTGTCCTTATTCACATGCTATCACTCCTAACTCGAAATCGAGCCATCCCAAGAGATGAACCACCAACGCCGGAACCATGCACTCGCAATGTCATTTGAGCAATGAAGCTTTTTGAAAAGAAAAGAAAAGAAAAGAAGTGAAATCCGACAACCGTCTAGTGCATGAGCTCGACTGGCGGCCTTGATGTGCTGACTGCTATGCCCTGCGCCTTCTGCGATGCAATCGGGCCCTCGACGCCCTCCATCGCATCGATGGGTGTCAACGGCTCAGGTGTCTCTGTTGTGTCTTCGACGGATATGGCGGGAAGGTTCGGAGAGTCGCCGTGGTCTTCGGGGTGGTAGACAACGGTGGTGCTGCCAGTTCGCCTTCTTGTGATGGATGGGCCGCCGTGGTCGGTCGTAGGCGAAGTCGCCTCGTGATTCGCATGTAACCGGGCCAGCGCTGCTGCAAGATCCTCTGGGTGTACAATCTTGTTCGGCGCATCTTCTTCCTTCATTTCCCAGCCCATGGGTGGTGAGGGCGGCGGCGAAATGAAAAATAGTCGGTCGGACTTTGGGAGAGCAAGGTGCTGGTCGGAGGGGTTCATGGGTGTGTTTACGCCGAAGTATACACGAATGCGATAGCCCATGAGTTGTTCGCCATCAAGGGCTTGTCGGACCTGGATCGCAGATTCGACGTCGAAGAAGGATACTACGATGCGACGGAAAGACTTGAGCGGCGCCCATGTGTGTACTTTCGCATATTTGTCTACGGTTTCGCGGATCTCGGTGAGGGTTGATAGTGAGAAGATCTCGGGTGCGAGAAGATTCTAAACGCTGTTAGTGTTTGCTCCCAAGTTCAAAGAAAGGAATAATCACGGTTATGATGAGTGTGTTTGAAGGCGGTGATGGCTCGACGAGCGGTGGGAGGTCTGAAAGGTCGAGAGAAAGTGGCGACTTGCTTCCCGATGACGCGCGGGAGCGCATTGGTGACGGAGGTAGAGTAGCCTGCATGTTTGCGATCATTTGTGTTGCGCAAAGATATACTGTGATCTGTTGGCTGAGTTGCTGTGGTGAGTTGGAGGGCAAGAGACCGACAGCGTGTGTCTTATATCAAAGTTCGCCTTCAGCGGTTGGTCGTTGCAGCGCCCGCACGCAAGCAGCGACGGTTGCTCCGCCTCAATCCGCCAAGGCCAGACTCCGGCCATGCCATTTCCCGCGTCCATGTCCCATGTCTCTGCTTCTTTCGCGCCATTTCCTGGGCAGCATTGCACTGCCCCGCCCACTACTTCCCGACGCACTGTGCTACTGAAGGTCTTCGGACCTCGGCGGACGCGTCAATGATGGATTCAACTGACGATAGCACAAGACGCAGAGAAAAGGAGAGGCCTCAGCCTTGCTGATGCATAGTCGCCTGCCACTCAGCCCCATGTCCACGAAAGAAACATCTACCAGTGTCTCGCTGGTTCCACAGAACATCGTTTTGCAGCATATTCAAGCACCGAGTCCACTGTTAGTGTCCGGCTTATCCATGTTGGGACTACACAGCATGCATGCAATACAAATTATTAAGGCCGTTATCTTGTCCGACTGGGCATCTAATAGGTCATCACTCGGCGGCAGACTCGTTTATGGTCCGTCTGCCATACGCATGCGATATGACAAGGACAACTGTCCAGGTCAGTAAGCTCATTTTGCAACACAGCCATAGGCGCTTTGCGCTTGAGGTTCTTTGTTAGCCAATAGTATCCTTTATGTTTGGGTTTTGTTGTGATGCTCAAGTCAGGTTTGGCCCATGGAAAATGTCTCATGTGTTCAACTGCAAGGCTGATCAAAGGTCATGCTTGTCTCGTGACTGTCTCGAGCTCCGCGTACGCCGGGCGCATCCACAAGTTCTAATGCGTACAACCGTTGTACGTGTCTCCTGTTTGGGTTGTACATCCAACATGCACGAGACGGTGGCTGCAGGTGATGTTATTACGACTCTGCCTTTGCAAAGTCTATGGTTTCCCTAGTAAGTCTTGAACATGGAATCCAGACGTCATCCAATCATTAATCTTGGTCCGCAACTATGTGACCCTGCATGCAATTCTACACTTGGCGTAATCTCGCCAGGTGCTGACCCGTATGACGATGCTACTGTCAATGGAGTGGCTGGTTCTAGGTGTGGCGTAGATGCATGCGCCACATCCAGACGCTAGGCTGCTTCGCTCCAGACTCACCTCAAAGAATCTCCATCAGGACGACGACCCTAGCCAGCACACCCCACACACACGCCAACACGTCTCTCTCCGCCTCCGAATCTAGTCGCCCTAATACCTCGGCTCCATTACGAGCCTCGCAAGCACACAGCCCTCTCCTCCCTGAAACGACGACGCGATGGACTACGACCCAGATGGCGGCGCAATCAACGTCCGCTTCCTCCAGGTACACCGCCCGCTCCGTCTGCCCCAGGACGCGTCGAGCTAACCCAGGTATGCGTAGGCCGACAGCCAGCGCGCCAACTTCATCGTCCAGAACTTCAATCTTGAAACCGCAAACTCACTCCGTCGTGTAATGCTCGCCGAGATTCCCACCTTAGCCATCGATGTCGTAGAAGTGTTCGACAACACATCCGTCCTCGCCGACGAGTTCGTCTGCCATCGCCTCGGCCTCATCCCCCTGTGCTCCAAAGGCGTAGAAGACCTGCTGTACTCGCGCGACTGCGACTGCGAAGGCTACTGCGACAACTGCGCCGTCGTTCTCACCCTCAACGCGAAATGCACAGGCAGCGAAATCATGAAGGTGTACGCACGGGATCTGGTGATTGAGTCTCGGGCACCAAACGACGAGGTGGGGAAGCCGGTTATTACCGATTCAGAAGAGACGGGTAGTTGCATTGTCAAGTTGAGGAGAGGCCAGGCGATCAACATGAAGTGCATCGCGAAGAAGGGTATCGCAAAGGAACACGCGAAATGGGCGCCTAGTGCAGCCATCGGTTTCGAGTACGATCCGGCGAACAAGCTGCATCACTTGGACTACTGGCACGAGGAGGATGCGGACAAAGAGTGGTATGTTTGGTCTAAACCGACTGAACATTGTGTGAGAGCACGTCTCTAACAGATCTCCAGGCCCAAAGACGAAGCTCGTATAAATCTCGACGGCGGGCCTCCCAACCCCGACGAACCCTTTAACTTCGACGCTGCCCCAACACGTTTCTTCTACGACGTCGAAACTGTCGGCGGTCTCGAACCCGATGAAATCGTCACCCAAGGCATCGCCATTCTACAACGCAAACTCGCCGAGATCATCAAAGAATTGTCTGGCGGTGTCGGAGGCCCGGAGGACTTTGGCGGTGCACAGAGCCCAACACTTAACGGTGCTGGGTACGGTGATGCGGGTGGATATACACCTGTCGGAGGAGGCGGATACGGAGGAGCAAGCTCGTGGGGCGGTGCAGCACAAGGAGGAACCACACCATATGGAGCTACGCCTTACGGGCAGTCCAATTGGTAGACAAAGAGTGAAGCGTTTGGATGTACAACATTGCATGGACCTGGCGTTCTAAAAGGTGTGGGCGTCAACAGACTGCAAGACTGCTCGACTGCTCAAGAAACGCAGTCCTTTTTGAAAGATTGGCATTTGGCACGAAAATAAAGACACCTTGCGAATCGCTATCGAAAATGAGTTGATGCAAATGGCATTGATATCTTTGCTAGCTCTTTGAGCTGCTTTCTTTTGCTCATGGTTCGTCATATCTAATATTACAATATACGCAAAGCCATTTCGTCATCATGCTTGCTTCAACTTTTACAAGATGCGTCTGAGAGGGGAATATATGTACAAAAGTGTACCTCGTGAATTGACACGAAAACGCCATGCCCCCAATGTACCGTGCCAGATCAAAGCAGCCAACCATACAATGGAGCCGAACCGGAATAGTCATACACATGCGAAGAAGATCGTGGCGGCAGCGACAGAGGTCCTGGTTCGCGTAGGATGAAGCTCATGTTGCTTCTAATGATGTCGGGTTTAAGCGTTCTTTACCACGCCAACCTTGGCCGGTCGCAGTGTCCGTCCGTTGAGCTTGAAGCCCTTCTGCTGTGTGTGGAAGCAAGTTCCGTCCTCCTTGTCAGGTTGCGGCGCCTGGAAGACAGCCTCGTGAATGTTGGGGTCGAACTTCTCGGCCGCCTCGCTGGGGTCGAATCGCTCCAAGCCGTGCTTCTTCAGCGTGTTAATGAGGATGGTGTCGGTCATCTTGATGCCGTCGTGCAGGGCGATGAGGTCGGTGTTATCCGACTTGAGCTTCTCTTCTGGCACAGTGCCAAGGGCGCGGTCGAGGTTGTCGACGGATTCTACGAGGTCACGGGCGAAGCGCTGAATGGCGAAGTCTTTTGCGGCCTTGATTTCACGCTGGGTGCGCTCTTGGAGGTTGCGGAAGTCGGCGACTGAGCGGAGGTACTTGTCCTGTGGAGGCATGTCAGTCTGCTGTTGTCATGCATTCAGGCAGCATCGGAGCCTACCTTCAAGTCGACGATTTCCTTGTCCTTCTTCTCTAGCTGCTCCTTCAATTGTGTTGCCTCATTGTTCTCTGTGGGCGCATCCTCCTTCTTCTCGGCAGCCTCGCCCTCCTTTGCTGGTGCAGCATCTGAGTACCACCGAATAGCGGGCGTCGCTACTGCTCGTGTGATGGGTGATTGTTGACGTAGTGGCGCAAAAGGCCGTATTGAGCGGGCAGCCTGCTGTCTTGAGGCGCGGAGGATGGTTCTTTGCAACATTGTGTGGTATGAAATATGGAATGAAGCAGAGGATGCAAGGTTTATGCGAAGGCGATAGTGTAGCTCAGGTGGATGCGATGATGATGAAGACGTTCGAGAAAAATTCGGAGCTGTGAGTGACGAATGCCTGTGCTTCCATCAGGGTCCAGTTCTTTCCGTTCCGAGGCGGACCCTTTCCGAACAACTTGCCATTCGTTGATCGCATACGCCTTTGACATGCCTGTCGACAAGTCAATGTCATGATGCGTGATGCGTCCTTCGCCAGTCTTCTCCTTGCGTATACGCTCATTCGTCTCGCGACATGACATCGTTCCGCCATCTGCGACAGTCCAGAAACCCATCGAGGCGGCCTATTACCGCGGGGGCACATCACGAGCCGTAATCCTACAGCCGCAAGCCTTGCCTAAAGAGCGCGCGAGATGGCCGACCATATTTCGCCAGATTATGGGAAGTGGTGACCCCTATGGGCGGCAACTTGACGGCATGGGTGCGGGCATATCGAGTCTTAGTAAGATATGTCTTGTAGAACCTTACGGGAGGAGAGTCGCCTTGCCTGAGAAAGCTACGCGTTTCCGGACAGGCTTTGGTGGCATTGATGCAGCTCGCGAGAGTGCGCAGGCTGTACAGGCTACAAAGGCTCAGGAAGAGGCGAAAGCGGCTGGGTACGAGCCAAAGCTAGACATTGATTACACCTTTGTCGGCTTGGGCATTGAAAACAACGAAGTCGATGTCGCAGGCAACTGTGGAAACATGAGCAGTGCAATTGGCCCTTATGCTTACAACGCCGGTCTCCTGCCATCGAGAATCTACGCCCAGGGTGATGGAGAGGTTACAGTTAAGATACGGAACACGAACACCGGAAAGCTGATCGACTCTACTTTCGAAGTGATTGGCGCGCAAGCTGCCGTTGTGGGTGACTACAGCATTGATGGTGTTACAGGACAAGGCTCAAAGATCAAATTGGATTTCAAACATCCATATGGTAGCAAAACTGGCAGAGTGCTACCAACAGGCAAGAGAGTGGACAACATCGGGGGCTACAGAGTATCATGCGTAGATGGTGCGAACCCGGCGGTCTTCGTCCGAGCAGATGATGTGGGAGTGGATGGTACCATCCTACCCAACGACTTTAACAAACTTCCGGAAAAGCTTGCTTTGCTCGAAAGCATTCGCAAAGCCGCCGCTGTAGTCATGGGTATCGCATCTACAGAGGATGAGGTTCCCCGTACCGTTCCCAAGATCGGCATCGTATCACAATCGTCTGCGCACCCCGTTCTGTCAGGAAAGACCCTGAAGGCATCACAGATGGACATCGTCGTCCGTTTTCTCTCGGATACACAGCCTCATCGAGCCATTCCTTTGACTGCTGCACTGACGACAGCCGTCGCGGCGCGGATCCCCGGAACCGTTGTTGAGCAAATGCTTGCTCCTGAGCCTTTGATGGAGGGCGCCATCACTATAGGTCATGCAAGTGGTCGACTGCAGGTTAACGCCACGATGGATGGAAGGAACAAACTCATCCCCGTCAGTGGCACGGTATACAGGACCGCGAAGAGACTGCTCGAAGGAGAAGTGTTCTGGACCGACAAGGCCGGTGAGACAGAACCTAGGGAAGAGACGACAGAAACCGGTACCACGTATGGTAGTAAGGGCCACCACTCCCTCGGTCTAGCTTTCGTTCTGGAGAACCGCGGTAAAGATTCATCCCACCTCTTCGAAGAAGACGTCGCACGTGAAAAGCGACCAGAATCCTCTGATGCCGACGTGGACCAGATCGCAAGCCAACAACCGACTCTGGAGCAGATTGAAAAAAACGAGCAGAAAGAGGAGCCCGAGGTCCCGATCCTAAGTTACAGACCCCTTCCCGACCCCCACAGAAAACGACCCGACCTGCGGCAAACAAACAAAGAAGAAGACGCCCTCACGCTCGCCATCCAAGGCCTACACTCTGAACTCACCGGATTGCTTCACAACGAAAAGATCATGGACACCACAGCACACCATTCCCAGCTGCTTACCGCAGTCCTCAAGGCACACCGTTCCATCCAAATCAATACCGTGGCGCAGAAGCGGTCAGCCGAGAAGGCTAGCAAGAAGGTAGAGAAATCTACTGTCCGTGCAGAGAGAACTCGTGCACAGAAGATTACAAAGGGCGGGAAGTTGATAACGGAGAAAGTGGCGAGGATGATCTCGGTTCGAGACGAAGACCAGGAGAAGAAGAGGACGGAGAGGACGGAGAGCGATGATATGGACATATATATGAAGGAGAGGGTGGCAAGGAAGATGGAGGTTCGGGATAACCACCGGGTGCATGAGAGTGAGGAGAGGACGGTAAGAGATGACTTGGAAGAATTCATGAGGAGCCGGGAAAAGGAGGCCAGTTCGAGATTGAGTAGGAAACCTCAGGTTGATGCTCTGACGCAGAGACGGCCGTGGAAGAATGCTGCTGATAAGAGGCGGGAGAGGGAGATGATACGTATACATGATACCGAAAAGGAAGAAGGGGAGAACAGTGGGCATGAAGCTGAGAAAGAGCTCAAGAATAGGAGGACAAGGCGTAAAGAGCTGCAAATGGCGAGGAAGAAGGCAAAGATGATGCGAGATTCGAGATAACTAAATGAAAACAATATTTATGTTGTAGCTTTTGCTAATGATGAAGACTGGTCAATGGCAACAGACTGGAGCAGTCCTCGATCGTAACTCAGAACCAAAACTTTTGATTCTTAGACTAAAGACTAGTCTGCTCGTCTTAATCTGTGTCTCCAACCATTCCCTAAAACTTACCTTACCTACCTAATAACCGTGCCCTGCTTCTCAATACCCCCAGCATAAGGCCCCTCATGGATATCACTTCTACCCAACAAACCCATCGACCCACCGCCTAGCAAGCCACCTGTACCCACACTCCCCCGCCGATCACTCCAGATCTCATGGAACCGAATCGCCATATCACTCGCCGCCACAACAATACAACCCTCCTCAACACCTCTCTGCGACCACACCCCATCTTCACCCCTCGCCCTCCCACCATCACGATCGTCATCTATTTGCGGACCGCTCGTAGGACCGCCTGGATAAGCAACTGCACACAACGCGCGATTCTCATCGTACCACGGGACGGCAACGACTTGTTCGCAGCTGGGCCAAGCGAAGACGGCGACGCGATAGGGATGCTCGGGTTGTGCGAAGCCAAAGGTTGCTGCTATTTCGCGTCGCTTTTGGGACCAGATTAGGCTAGTGATTTGAGCTGCGCAGTCGATGGTCGCAAGACAGGTGCCAGAGCGGGTGTGGTAGAAGTGGATGCAGCGGTCGTTCGAGCCGCCACCGATGGCGAGGAGACCGCGTTGCCAGGGGCAAAATGCCATGGCTTTTACAGCGGCATTAAGTGTCCATGTGTGTTTTGCTGCTGATTGTGCGAGGTGTAGGACGGCGTTATTGTTACGGTTGGTTACGGTGTAGATGGATTCACCACGGGGACCATCGCGGACGTCCAGCATGGTTGCTGTATTTTCGCTTGCAGGGTTCGATCGGAGCACCTTTTTCGTTTCGAATAGATTGCAGTTGTTGTCGTTTCCACCACTCGCGAAAAGTTCACCGTCGGATGACCATGCTAGGCCACAGATCTGTTGACTGTGGATTGAAAGTCGAGCCAGCAGGGTCATGGCGCCAGTCCAACCGAAGAGTGCACTGTGTGTCTCTGAAGGCCACTCCACGCTGTAAAAGTAGATGTGACCGACTTCGTCCCCGATAAGCAACTCTTCGGTCGGTACAGTCATTGCTCTATCTCGGAGAGAAAGCCGTTGCACAACAGTCGGTCTCCAGGACACACAGGATACGGGTTTGGGTTGCGTCGCTTCGAAGCGCGGCTCCGCATCTAGTGGGCTCCATAGCAAGATACGGCCATCGGCTCGTCCCACGGCAAGAATCGCTTGACCACCTGCTGTAGAGGAAAAGTCTAAGGAGGTGACATGTTGAACATCTGCAGGGCCGTTTGGCGGCACAGCGTTCAGTGAGTCTGGCGTGTTGACACCACTCTTCTGAGACCAGAGATGAACAAAATTTCCTAGACCGACAGCCAGACACTTGGAGGTGTGAGAGTATGCGAGTAGAGTGCAGTAGTAGTCATCGCGAAGGTTAGGGGCATCGAGAACTGTGGGTAGAGTCAGCATTGAGAGGCAATCATAAACAGAGGAACATATCTAAAAGGTAAGATCGGCACTGGTCTTCGCTTTGGTGGTGTTGGACGAGGACCTTTCGTCTCAGATTAGCAGCAACACAAAATTTGAAGTTCGCACGAAATGAAAACAAACTCGAATTGACTCCGTCCTTGACCCAAGCTCCGTCTCGCCAGACATGTTTTGCTTGCGATGCAGGACCGCCATGCGGTGAGCTCACAGATACCGGAGACGATGAGTGCTGGAGGATACGATCAGTCTGATCAATGTCAAGTGCGAGCGCAAGACGCCGTTCGTAGGCTTCGAGTTCGGCATCGGGGTCTGCTCGATTCAGAAAAGCTGATTTGTACAATGGCGCGTTCGTTCCGCTACCGAGCATTCTACCTCTGCCAGTGGAGACTGCTACTACTGTGTCGCTCACAGCAGAAGGACCACCGACATTCCAGACAGCGCCAGCGCTGATCTGACGAGCACCTAGCGGTAGAGGGGTTCGTCTGAAGTTGACGTTTCTCCTGGTTGCATTTGCACGGCCTGAAACTACAGAGTGTGCCTCCCTGAGACGGCGTAATTCTTCATTCAAGCGGCCGCTCCTGCGCAGTCGGCGACTGAAAGCATCTGCTCCTGTACGTGTGCCGCGGTTTGTATTCTGTTCCTTGTTTCGACGCTCTGCAGGGCTGTTGAGTTCAAAGCTTTCTCGAGTGAGTGCGGGTGGGCGGCGGCAAGCGATGAATCGATCTGGCGTACTTGTTTGGGTTTGACTAGGTGATGCTAGCAAGCCGCCTCGTGCTAGCCATTGACTGGATCTGAGAGGAGAACTGGAATAGCGCAAGGGAAGGCGGCGAAGCTTGGTAGGCGGAGAACTGTCGTCAGCGGATATGTCAATGCAGTGTAAGTGTGGTAGACTAGGGCTTTCGAACGTAATGACCGTATCTGTCGGGATCAGTGAGGGAGATGCTGCGCGAGAGAGAAATCTGGACTTCCTAGGAGAAGAAGATGGAGTTGGGCAATGACTAGTGAAGCCGCTGTCAATATCCCTGAAGAAGAGGCAGCTGCGGCTTTTGCGAGGAGACTGAGGCGTCCGTGGTGACGCCCAGCCTTCAATGCTGATAGTCTTCGTAGGAGACAGCGGTGGTGTGAGATAGCCGAACTGGGACAGAGACGCTTCGTCATCAGTGTCGCTCATGTTGGAGCAGCTTGTGTCAAGACGAATGGACTGGAGGACTGAGCTCTGAGCTCCAGCGCATGTGAAGCTGTCTGAAGGAGAGGAGCTAGGGGACCGGAGACCGGGTGCTGCCTGATGTCCCGATGTTATCGCTGCTTGGTCAGTAATAGCAATGGCTGCGAGGTTTCTTAGGATGTTCGGAGCATATATAGGGTTGGCAGATGCGACTAGTGGTGACGGCAACCTTCCGCGAGGGATGACGGAGGGGCAGGGGCTCCACGCGTGTAGTGGGGCAACATTCCGCCGAGGCTGCAATTCGAGGAAGCAACGGCGAAGCTTCATAAACAGCGCAAGGACATATGGCAAGCGTAAGTTGATGTCATAGTCGCTTGGAATGTCCTTACTGACATGTCTAGCACGGTATATCGCGCGGGTCTGGCCCGGTCGTCCGCTCAGAAGCAGCGCGACAGAAGGAGCTGCAACAGATCACAGACTACAAAGATTTGGTGGATCTGGTGAACACAAAGGTATTGCATTCAGGAGAAGCACCCGTTGAATCCAGCTGACAGTCGCTCTCCAGATTGCCGAGAAGCAATACACCATCGAAGTTCTGGGCCTAGTCACGAAACTCTTGAACGAGAATCCCGAATACTACACAATATGGAATCACCGAAGACGCGTCTTGATGGCTCTGGTGGCCGCAGACACCCGCAAACAATCGCCAGACGAACTCCTACAGGGCGACCTGCAGCTCACGTTTGCGCTATTGCGGAAGTTCCCCAAGTGCTATTGGATCTGGAACCACAGAAACTGGCTGTTGCGCGAAGGCGAAGCGCTAATGGGCGCGGAAGCAGCACGTAAGCTGTGGTCAGGAGAACTACAACTCATAAACAAGATGCTGCACGCAGACAGTCGCAACTTCCATGCTTGGGGCTACAGACGATTTGTGGTGTCGCAGATTGAGCGTCTGACTGCGACCGAAGACGTTCCCGCATCAGGGACAGCACAGAAGAGCCTCTCAGAATCTGAATTCGAGTACACGACCAAGATGATCAAAACCAATCTCTCCAACTTCTCCGCTTGGCACAACCGTAGCCAGCTTATACCCAAGATCCTCCGCGAGCGCAACGCAGACGCCGAAGCGCGCCGTGTATCCCTCGGCTCAGAACTAGCCTTGATATGCGAAGCCATAAACACCGATCCCTTCGACCAGTCCATTTGGTTTTATCACCAATACCTCCTCTCAATACTGTCTCCGTCATGTCCACCGGATGCGCTTGTCGTCCAGGACTTGACCAACGGCGAGCGGCAAAAGTACTACGAGCACGAGATGGAGTACATCAGGGAGATATTGGAGGACGAGGCGGATTGCAAGTGGATATACGAGGCGTTGCTCGGGCTTGCAGAGGCGTATCTGGAGGTAGATGCTGGAACCGGGTCGTTTACAACGAAGGATATGAGGTCGTGGCTAGACGAGCTGAAGCGTCTAGATCCGCTGCGACAGGGACGGTGGGACGATCTCGAGCGTAGACTGAACCTCTGAATACCATTCATGGAAGTCTTCAGGATTTGCTTTTGGTATTCTCAACACTGCCAGTTGCATTCGCAGACGCGGTTTCTGTCTTGTTATCCTTCTTCCATGCCCATAGCCCGAGCACGTTCGACCATGAATTGTCAGCAGGCGCAGATGCGACAGCTTCCTCCTTCTTAGCCTGTAGTTGTGCGGAAGGTGGGGGTGCTACAGCACTCGATGCTACGGGGACGGGGTTTGTGGTGCTCGAAGCAGCGGCAGCGGCGAGTTCCCTGATAGGGTGTGAGTGAAGGCGACGAAAGTACCTGTGGAGTCTGCATACCGTTTGTACTCTTCCTCCATCCGCGCTATTCGCTGTTTCTTGAACTCTCCATCAAACGTAGCCACTCCAATTGACACGCCAACAATAGTCGCCAGCGCGACTGGAAGAATACGTCCCGCCATCTTGTGTGTTCGTTGCGTGAAGTGACGGCGGCTGAGTTTGGCGTGTATGACGAAAGCACTCCCGCGGGCAAAAAGTTGAGCCCGCCGCCGTCGCCAGCACGCGCTAAGTCGAGCACGGGACGACGCGCCATGCCTTCAGCCATCACCCAAAACCTCACCCCGCCAGCATCCAACCACGGAACGACATGCAGGCGCGTCCAAATGTCCAAATGGCGACAGAAAGGTTTTGTCCAGGACTCGGATGAGGAAGAAGACGAATCTCAGCTTGAGAGTCAGGGTTCCAGGCAGAGTGTTGGCCTGAGTGGACGCGTCGAGCGCGTCGAAGATGGTGCCGTGCCGATCCGACAGCATGAGGCACCCACGGAAGAGGTGCAGGGGGTTGATGGAGAGGAGGGAGAGAACACGCAAGCTGACGAAGGCATCAATGGGATAGAGAAGCAAGAGAGGGCCATTGTCACGCCTACCAAACAGAGCTCGCCGAGGCGCCCTACGCCATCTCCGTTTACACCCAAATCGACGCGCAGTATAAGAAGAGAGCCCACCGAGAGCCCTGATCCGCTGCTAGGGTCACCTACGCCGAAAAACCGACAGGCTGTACCACCTCCGTCGTCACAGCGCCTGGCATCCCCAATCCTCCAGCCAAGCTCTGCCGTGTCCATACCTCAACTCGAAGACGGCCATGTTGTGCCCCGCTCCGACACCTCGATTACTCCAATACAATCAACGGTCATGGGGAAACCTGAAACCTCTACACATGCTTCAAGCATACTCAGACAGTTCGGTATCGCGCCGTTGTCCGATGATTCCGACGATGATCTCTCAGATCCGCCCACGGACCTGGAATCGCCTCCTCCTGCTTTCGCTGAGCCCCATCGACGTACGGCAGTTCAAGTTGTCATACCATCCGCAACGGCTTTACAAAGACAAATCGCTGACGACAGGGCAAGACGCGAATTCCGCCAACGGAAGCCCATTCAGATGCATCCATACGCGCTGGAGGGTGAGATGTATCGGAGAGAAGTACAGAGCAGAGGTCTTAAGCCGGTGCGGAGAGAACGTTCACGATCACCTCAGGGTCATCGCAGACAGCCAAACGACGAGTCGCAAGAACAGGAGTTCAATCCGGATCAAAGCCCTACAAGCAGCCCTCCTGAGGTCGAAATACCCGTCTCTACACCTGTACTGCCAAGGCCAAGAAAGGACGCCGCTCAACAGCCTACGTCCGGTCCCGCCAGACGCCCTCCTTCTACACAGCTCCGTCATCCTCATGCAGCGAAGCGTAGAAAGCCCAATTTCTCATCCACACAAGCTGCGGCGGCACCGACAAGCATTTTCGAAGACTATGATATGCGACGGGATATCTGGTCGATTCCCCCAAATTCGCCTCCGTATTCGAGCAGTCCGCCATTACAAGGAAACACGTCAGCTCGCCGTCTAGGCATGCTGCGCGTATCAATCCCTGCTCCAAACCTACCGACGCCTTCAACCTCATCGGTCATGCAAGAAGATCCTCAGATGCTCCAGGGCTCAGACTCCGAGCCGGCACCGCGCAGTATACAGAGATCTGGTGGGGAATTGCGTCGGCCAACAAGGGTAGTGATAACGGACAGCTCATCTTCAGCTGCAGGCTCCGCTAGTGAGGCAGAGAAGAGCGACGATGAGATGAGAAATGTGGGCCGAAAGATCAAGGGAGTGTTACCTGCTTCTTGGTTGCGATTCGATCGCCAGGCACAAGAGCGACGGAAGGCTCAGCAACGCGAGAGAGAGCGCGCGCGTACCAACGCAGCCGCTTCCCCTGAGCCGACGGCGCCCGTACGTGGAGTTGCCCAAAGAATCATGAGACCTGCTGGCCGACCTCGACAAAGTTCAACCTCCAACGCGCCTTCGCAAGCTCCTGTAGTCATATCTGACGATTCAGATGATGAGCTTAGGGCTTCTGAACCCCGATTTTTGCAACAAGACCAAAACTCCGTGGCCGACGCATCTGCATTAGCTGCAATGTTTGACGATCGTTATGCCGACGATAACTTGTCCGACATGGAACACGACCGTTTACCTCTCCCTACACTTGGTGGAACTGGACCAAAGCGGAGAAAACAGACCAAACTTACAGACGCTTTCGCAAAATCCAAGAAAGTCAGATTATCGGACGGTTTAGCAAAGAATGTCGCCCCTGGGAAACGGTCGTCTGGCGGCCATCCTTCGCGTAAGAAGCATGGTCACTCCAAGAAATCACGTAAAACCCCACCACCTGCTATGAGTGTCATAGACATTGATCTTTCGCCTTCTCAATCAGGTGGTAACATGCCACAATTTCTCAGGATTGCCAGACGGCAAGCGCTTCAAAGACCAGATCTAGCCCGTCAAAGTTTACATGACAAGCAAATAAGACTGCATAATGCCGAAGACACGGAAGAAGCCAATATCACTCTACAACAGTGGCGACGGGGAACATTGAAACCAAGAGCAAATGTCAGATCGCAACAAAGAAGATCCCGACATCCTTTGGCCGATAGGATCGACAACCAGCAGCATGCCGAACAGCACTCAGCAACTGATGGAGCATCTGCGAAGGGCACTGGATTACAATCTGAAGCCGGGACGGAGACATCTCGTTCACGCCCACGTAGAAGCATCCCCGCAGGCCTCCATATCTTCCAACGTTCAACGACCCAGGTCCGGAGATCCACGCAAGAAGGCAAGAAAAATGCCCAACCAAGCAAGGATCCAAAACGAGCTGTGCGCCAGGCACCTCTTCCGTTCAGAACCGCGCAACTTGAAGGCGATGAGAATGACTTTGGCCGTGGCCACAGGAAAATCGCATTCGAGAAGGGCCTCTTGCGTGTCGATCAGCAGTTTGGTCTTCAGCTGCCTAGCGAACAGCCCTTCGTAAACCCACAGCTGGCTAGGTATCTCGCAGATGACAATACTGAACTGCCGCCCCTCCCTTCTGCGAAGGACATCGAAGAAGGCCAAACTGAAGATCTAAGCAACCAACAGCCTCCAGTTCGCAGACGCTTGAAGCGAAAGGTACAAGCGCAACGAATTGATATCGATGCGCGGGAATACCGTCAGCCAAGCGAGCCAGCAGTGGACGAGATACTCAAGAACACCGACACTCCTCAACCACAGGAAGTCGACACAGAAGACGGCTTGCCCATACTCCACGGGTTGGGTCCTTATGGTACCCGTTACCCGATCACGTTCGATGTGTACTCTCTAGCGACCGACACGTACTTTCACTCTTCCACTTTCATCGGCGCTGACGAATTCCGCCAAGCTTTACTCACCAGCAAGCCTAGTAGCCGTGATCTCGATGAATTAGCCGGTCATTGCACCATCAGCCATGGCGCTATCTCAGTCAGATGCGGTCCGTGGAATGATGAAACTTTTTCTAGGCTCCAGGAGATCGTGAACGCGGTATCAGAACCTGTCGAAGTCCAAGGATCCGACCTTGGTATGTCATCGTCAGCCCACGAATGCCCAATGAACTCAGTTCGATTGGCACGATCACTTATCAACTACATCACCCACCATCTCAGCTTTTTGGACCCGATCGATCGAGGCGACTGTGTAGCCAAGTTGTTGCGGCTATGCCAGTCAATATTCGATAATCTGTTGATCGCTCAAGGCACTCTCAATGGAGGAGATTCTAGCCATGCTCACAGTGTTATACGTGCTATGGCATACCTTCTTGTCATCAGCATTCAAATCCACCACATTGCTCAACACCCGACTCTCGCTCCAGGGAACCAAGTCGGAGTCATTACTCTTGCCAAAAGCTTATCCAAGACTCTTGTTGCTCATTTCATGCGAAACGGCATTACCAGTCTTGGTAAATTTCTCGAACAAAACCAGAGGCACTCCGTACGCGAGAAGGGTATACAAGATACCGACGTCATTGTTGAGAGCACGGTCATATGCATGCATGTCTTGGAAGAGATGGACATACCAGGATGGAGTTTCTGGGACTTGACCAGTCAAGAGCTTAGTTCCAATCTGGGCGGCGCTACTACTTTACCTGCCTTCGAAACTACCTGGGCTACAATGCTCACATTCTTTCCCTACAACGAGATCGATTCGTCTGGCATACCGCTTAAAAGTCGTAGGGAGACTTTCCAGAGCGACAATTGGACGTGCATCCGAGATCTTTTGCGCAGACTATTCGAGTTATACCCAAGTACGTACAGGAAGCACAGCACGTCTCTCAATGACTATGTACGCGCCAATCTTGCACGATGCCACCGGTTGATTGCTCATTGGCATTGGAGACGTCCGGAGCTGATGCTCAACGTCGTCTTGGATTTCTTTGGCAAAAATGGACTCAAAAGTCTGCGACGTGAAGCAGGCACTGGATCGGTACCCTTCCTCAACGACCTTGCCACTGCCCCGTTCCTCAACGTCGACCCAAATGAGAACTCCTTTCACATCGCATTGAAATGTCTCGCTCTAGGTCTCCAGGGTATGAGTAATGCCTATCCTGAAAAGAAGATTCGTAGCTTTGTTTTCCGCTCTCTACCTAATCATGGGCGTGCTTATCCCAAGGATCAGCCCCTGGACGAAGAAAACCTCGCAGCGCTGCGCAATCACCACGACCTACTCTCAACGCTGTACCGGGCTGCGCCACCCGCTTGTCGGCCAAAGCTTCATCACATTCGTGACCTTGTAAATCACGAGAGCTCTCATCGCGAAGCATGTAGAGTCAGCGTTCGAGCCTGGGCCAATCTCGCTACATTTCAGCTATCAACCGAAGAGCCGTATACATCTGCACGGCCATTCGCATCCTGGCACAAAGACATCATGCACCAAACGCTCATTCAGTACAAGCTGGCGAAGACCGAAGCTGACGACTATCTCAAGTCTGGTGTCCTGGACGGCACTACCGATGTCTCTGCCGTCATGGTTCGTCAAACAATGGAAAAGAATCAGGGGCAGGTCATTGCGACGCTTAGAGACTGCATTGCAGGGATGAGCAGGGCAATCCAACACGCAAGAGATCAATCATCTTTGAAGGTGTTTCTGGAGGACTCCGACATCATGCATCTTTTAGAGCTTCCTCATCTGGAAGACCATCGACTCGTCAACGTCATCCGCGACGTCATGAAGGTCCTTCAGGATTATGCAAAGATTCAGAAAGTCAACTTGAAGAAGGACGTAAGCCAACAGACAAGCGAGGAAAGCCAGGACTACGGTGACTTTCCCGATATGGATGACCTGGATGATATGGATGTCGATGCCCCCGCAAAGACCTTTCACCAGTCGGGATTGGATTTTATTCAGACCCCACTCTGGCACTTGCTGTCGAACGCATTTGGCGCGGAAAATTCGCCAGATGATAACCTACTTATGGATTGCATCGACACATGGGTTCGGATTGCAGAAGGCCAGGTACTAGCGGGTGAGAGATCATGGTCATACTATCTCGATTCGTTTAGTCAAGTATCGTGGAAGCAGTTGCGCCAGACCGAACAGACTCGCAAATTCGGCCCATACTTCATGGCTGCTCTCGTCGACTGTGACTCAGCCGCGTACGAAGAGCATCGACATGAGTTTTTCCAGGCTCTAATGGTAAGCTTGGTGGAGCGAGAGTCGATGCTGAGGTTCCAGCACAGACTGCTGCACGCCATCGCGCAAACGGACGAGCATCACCCGCTCATGCAGAACCTGCCTTTCTTCCGCGATATAGAGACTGGGAAATGGGACATTACTGCCGACACTTTGCGTACGCGACGTCTTGCCCTCATCTCCAGCATTCTCTCCAACATGCGCGACCACATCCACGCCACTACCCGAGCCGAACCATCTCGTCTTGGCGAAACGAAACGGCTATACGCGTCAATGCTGAAGGACTTCATGACATCTATGAAGTACAACTACCAACAGCTCCGCCAAGGCACCACAGTGACCGGCGCATACGTCGAATTCGTGCAAAAGATCGTACAGTTCCTCAAGCAATACACGAACGATATCTGCCCTGTGCTGCCTTTCTTCACAGACTCGGTCGCCTTCCCATTACCAGCTGGAGATCCCACCTACGTGGTGGCACGCCTGTGTGGGTATGCACCCAAGCTGTCAGACACCGGGACTGCGAAACAACTATCTTTCTTCATCCAGACTGTCGCACAACAAGCCGCTGCCGACAACCAACAGGCTTATCTTGTCAATCAGCTCACAACTGCTCTTTGCACCGATGAAGCGCCTACTGGTGATAGGGTAGCACTGCGATCGGTATTGCTACAAGGCATCTTTCCGGCGTACTTGGAAGAAGCCTTTTCATCAAGCACAGCCTTCGCAATCGCTAGGCCCATACTGCAAGCTCTGCCCGCGATCCTGGACACGATGATCTTCGATCTGCGCGTCACTCAGCCGGAAGGTCTCGCCTCAACCGTCGGCTGCATCGTATCGGTATCACACGCCTTCATCCGGGGTACAGAACAACTCAAAGACGACCATCATCTGCTCCAGCTTCCCTACGTCCTCGCCGCGCTCACGCATATGCTCGAAGCTCTCAGATCAATCCTCTCTCCATTGGAGTACATATGCAGCCGGACCATGCCCTCCGCACATCTCAATCCACCGCCACTTGTCGCCTACATCGACGAGGTCAGCATCTTCATCACCAAGCTTCTCCGCGGCGCAACACCAGACACCATCCCCTCTTACGCCGGCGATGCTCATGCGTCACCTTCGGGGAAACAACACGCAGATCTCCTAGCTTTTTGTCGCCGCGGCCTGGAAGACAGCTTGAAGACGAATTGGAGTGAAAGCGCTGGATCAATTTGGTTTGGCCAGGGTCATGCGCGCAGAGAGGTACTCTTCGATTTTGGGAGTGTGGAGGAAGAACGAGGGAGACTAGAAGGCGGGATAAAAGGGCTTCAGGCTGCGCTTCATGATGTTTATGGATATGGGGACGCTGGGATTCATGGTGAGGAGGAAACGAATGTTGGGTACGACATGGTGGTTTAGTAACGTCTTGGATTTAGCGGCATGAACACGGCGTATAATGGCAATTCTTGAATTACACGAATATAATAAGAATCATACTGAAACAATCATTCTTTGCGAATACGCGCGGAACGCTGGCGAAACCAGTCACAGGACGAGTTGTAATCGCCTTCGATGTAGAGCCGCGTCACGTCTATGCTGCCAGTCGGCCAGTGGACTTCATATAAGGGAAACGCTAAACTGGTCTGGAGCATACATCAGAATGGAAACATGCAAAGTGGGTGGCACAAAGTCAACGTAGGCTCTAGGATGTTCAATTTCTTTCTTGAACGAGGTCAGAGACTGGGAAGAGCAAAAAACCAAAGTCATAACAAGATCGCATCAGAAGCTGCGACCACATCCGTCAATGTCACCAGCTTGCCAGTCAGAGGAACTTGGAGCCATAATCATTCTCTTCCCAAGCTGCATCAAGCCTCGACCTGAGCGGTCATTCTAGCTGTGAACACAATTAGCTACATCGCGCTTGAGGGTCAAGTGAGTCTTACACTTTTCGGACGATAGACTAGCGTCTTTTCGTTCCTCAACTTCCATGTTCATCCAGATCCGAAAGGACTTGGGCAACCCTTCTGCTCTCTTCAGCATCCCTCTCCATTCGCGCGTTTGTGACCGCATAGTAAGAGGTTGTATCGTAATTGACAGCCCGACGAATGGCATCGATGTGGCTCATTTGGGACGAAAAAGGATCATAGTTATGATAGTCTCCATCGATGGGGGGTTCGGGATCAACTGAAGGGGCGACGGCTACGGTCTTCTTCTTCTTTTTTGGTTTCTTCTTTTTCTTCTTGGGTGCTACAGTCAGGGTAGCGTCGAGCTGGGATGCTTCATCAGGAGAGAAGGTTCGCGAGGAGTCCGGAAGGGTAGGGGCAGGAGGGGTAAAAGCAGACGGTCGCACTTGTTCTTCTCCGACTAGAGTGGAAGCGGAAGAGCGGCGAGAGTGACCTGGAACGTGAGTGTGTTGATTGGAAGTGAGGTTATGGGGATCATTTACTTCCTGGGCGGGCATCTTCTGGGAAGGGCCTTGTGCTTTTGTGGTAGTTGAAGGGACAAACGGTGTGGTTGAGGGGTTCGGTTCAGGAGCTGGTGTTGCCCCAGAATCTTCCGAAGATCCCTGGTTGGCTGGAGCGGCGAGGTAGGTCTCCATCTTTTCCGCCTTGTGAGTTACTGAAGAGACATCCTTGGAATCGTTGATATTACCATTGGGTTTACCATTCTCCGATTCGGTAACTGCCTTGTCTTCGCCATCGGCAGAGCCGGTACCAGCTGGCTGCACCTTTGCCTTGCCCTTGGACTTCTTGTTTCCTGTGGTACTATCACCGCCAGACTTTGAGTGGGCCGCTTCTGGTTTAGCAACTGTATCTGTAGCTCCGGATGAGTTCACAGAGTCTTCTAGAGACCCTGCCTCACGCTGAGCGGAGGGACCGTCGCCAGACTTTTGCGAGGATGTGGCCTTGTCGGCCTTCGTCTTAGCGACTCGGTCAGCATCTTCCTTCTGGAGAGGTGAAAAGCCAAAGTCAGGATGTGTTTCATGTTCTTATGTACGTTCAAGACTCACCTTCTGCTGCTTCTTTCTAGCCTCTTTTTCTCGTTTGGCCTGAGACTTGTTGATCTTCGCGAACGGGTGGAGCGACTGCATCTGCTGAGCACCAGCTTTCTTGATCGCAGTGGCGGGTGAGGTCTCTGCAGCTGTTGATATTTCTGCGTTTCCTTCAGCAGTGACGGTTGTTGTAGGATCTTGTGTACTGTCCGACGTCGAAAGCTGAGGCACGGTATCTTCTTTTGGCGGCGCAGCTGCGGGTAGATCAGACTGAGTAGTATAGCGCGGAGTGATCAGTGTTTGGGATTTATCCAGGCTGCTATCGGTAGGTATAGACGGCGATTGTGTGATTTCTATGTGATGTCAGACATTTTATATGGGAAGTGGGTTGGAGTCACAGTACCATGGTTCGTAGTCATCACCTTGTCCTCGAGCTCTGGTTGCGGCTGCGCTTGCACAGACTCGGGCTGGATTTCTGGCGCAGAATGGAAGCTAGTGTCGTTCTTGGCCTCATCGTCCGAGACGTCGTTGTCTGCTAGTTGCGCGGACGATTCTATCGGAGTTGTACTCAAAGGCCCACCACCTGTGTTCTCACTGTCTTTAGCGATCGAAGTAGCGTCGGATCCAGTCTCTAGATTCTTAGCAAGGGCGCCTGCGAAGTTGAGAGAGACGTCAGTGTCACGTTCTTTCTGTGTTGTCTTGACGTCTTGTCCGGCCTCCAGCATCTCCGAACTCTTGGATGGTTGTACGGTAGAGGCGCCCGCTACATTTGCCGGCTGTTCTAGCGCTGGTGTAGAGTCGGAGGGGGAGGACATATGTTCTTCAGCCGAAGTAGGCCCATCAACAGTCGCTGGCTTCGTAGGTTCAGTGATGGTTTTGTTAGACTCTGTGCTGGTCTCTTCCTTTTTCGTGACAGCTGGGCCATCAGCGTTCAGCTTTCCAACAGCTTTCGTATTCTCATCAGCTGCATCGGTGTTCTTAACTGTTGATTCGCGCCTACCTTTGCCCTTGTTCTTCTTTGTAGGAGATTTCTGCTGACGTTTGGGCATCTCGAGCTTGACATCTCCTGTCTCTGGATAGCCAGGAACATCCGACTGCAGGGATGGCTTGTTCAACAGGCCGCTCCTAGCATCCTGGGGAGAGTACGATGCCTTGGCGCTTTGCGTGGCTGAATATGACTCTACACCAGTGACAGGCTTATCGTCTTTCTGAATCGGCATGCGTGGAGCATCACGATTCGTGCGGTCTGTTGTCTGCCCAATATGTGACTGATCGAAATAGCTTGAACTCGATGGTGAATCTTTCTGATAGAAACGCCTTGGTACCGTCACAACGGGACGGACTCCACGTACGTGAGGATTGAACTTGTTGATGCCCAAGGCTGCGCTGGCATCTGCAGGTGACACGAATCTAGATGTGTCAGCGGATCCACAGAGACAACGGTGAGTAAACTTACGTAGCAAAGGCATGAACAGAACTTGCGCCAATCTTGTTGCCCCTCAAGGAGACTGAGATGGGGCTAATACCGACCGTCTGCTTGAACATCTGTGCAAGTTCAGACTCGCTGGTTTCGGGCAACAAATCTCCAATCCAAAGCTCGGTGACGGTCTGATTCTTGGGTCCGATCCATGTATGACCGCAACCAGAGACGGAGTCGCCAGTGATAGCCGGGTCGTCTTCCGATGGGCGACGTCGATTGTTGTAGTCGGCATGTCGAGGGCCGCCGGATGGAATGTTACCGTTGTAATCAGGGTTGGGTCTGCTATATGACTCCCGCCCACCTGGGTTGGATACTTTGCGGCCACGACCAGACTGAGCGGCGAAGCCGTTGTTACTACCCTTCCGACCTACATTGTTATGTCCCGGGGTACCGTTGAACTTGTGGTTGTTGCCACCGTAAGGATCGTAGAGCTCTTGGGTGTTGCGCGGTGGATTGGAACGACGGGGCACTGGCGCACGAGGATCCTGGTGTTGAAGCACCATGTTGCTAGTCATGTCGCCCATCGCGACGTGCTGGCCGTGTGGCTGCTGCGTGAATACAGGGCCCATAGGCTGAGCATGCATCATGTTCTGCTGGTAGTCGAGTTGTGCTCGAGACATCTGGCCAGGATCGGGGTGCTGGAGAGCATAGCCAGGATGGACCATCTGAACATACGGAATTACACCCGTCATCATTGGCTGAGCGATATGTTGGCCCAGTGCCATTTGCGGAGGTAGGAAGTGAGGCGACTGCATGGCAGGCATAGCGCCAGAAGGCTGTCGTGGGTATGGACCATATGCAGTGCGGCTGTTGTTCTCGACCCAGCCGTGTTGCTGAACGTAGGATCCGGAGTTCATGTTGCGATTGGATTTTGGAATGTTCAAGGATAGCGCATGCATGTTGGGCGACGGCCTCGAGGGTCCCGCTGGAACACCGCTCCTCAATGGACCAAAATGGCCTCCAGGCTGAACGAGACCCTGCGATGGGATGCGTGGAGGAGCATAGCGCATGTTGGGCTGATGTGGTACTCCGGAAGACACATTCGCGACATGGTCTGACTTATCGACGGCGGACGAAGGCTCTGCCGGTGTGGTCAGTTTGCTGGGTCGAGATCGTGTTATCTTGCGATTTTTCTTACTGCCTTTCTTGTCCGTAGACATATCAACAATGGTGGACGAAGGCTGGGTTGCTTCATTGGTGGACTGTTGACCCCAAATGCGTGCTTGTGGCGTCAGGCTCTCGCGCAGTGTCTCGTTAGTCGCCTTGTTCATCTCGATCCAAGTAGTAATCAGGATATGAGCGACGTGCCAGAGGAACACACGAGGGAATCCGAGAGGTTCACCGAACACAAAGATCTGGTCGACGATGGCAAGCGGATCGTTGATGTCGTAGACGTTGCCCATCTGAAGCCCGGTGAAGTCGACTCGATCCGGATACGCGAGCGCCCAATCTTTAGCGAATCGGTCCGCCGCGTAGTAGGTGTTTCGGGAAATGAAGGTCAACATCTCTTCGCAGAACTTCCTTCCCTCGATGTATACATCTTCGGCATCCCACAGGTCTTCCACGGTCCATCCCTGTGAGGGTAGGATGCAGAGACACCTAGTTGAGTCAGTGTGGTCTTCGAGTAGGGCGCGACAGGTTACTCACTGATTCTTGTGATTCACCTGCCAATGCGTTGCGGCTTGCACCACAACCGCAGGACCTTGGACGCTACGTGCGATGACGGGCGCACGAATTGGACCTAGTGAACGGGGATCGCGAGTACCAAGTTCGGTAGAAAAGAAGGCCTGACCGGCGCCCGGACTGAACTTGGGGTCTCTAGTTGCATGGTTGACTGGGTCAACGACAGTGTTGTTCATATCGGTGGGGGACGCAGGCTGCTCGTCTGCAATTGTTGCGGTTGGCGTGTCTGCAGCAGGCGGAGTGCCCGGTGGTTGGGCAGTATCCGACATAGCTGAACTCACTACTGGCTCAATAAGGGAGGTGCGAGTAAGTAAGGCTTTGCGTGGGACAAATGGAGGTGGTCTTTGCAGCAGGGGAAGGTCTTGAGCGGCGACGAATTCCGTTGGAAACTAGCAGCTGCGATGGAGAACGCGAGGTGGGAAATACTTAAGAAATTTGTGGCAAGCGCGAGGGTAGCACAATAAACAAAAGTTCGTCGCTGCTTCAGGTGGAAGGAGCAACAAGTCTTGGCGCCGCCAGAAAGAGGAGGTGGGCGTGAGTGACCAACGCTTGAGATCTCCGCGCGCCGCTCTTCCACTCACGCTATTGGTCTCAGTGTAGCTTTGGCGTGACTTGTGAAGATGCTGAGTGACTGGAAAAGAACAGAAACAGAGAGACGTAGTCACCGAGGATTTCGACATGATGAAGCACAAGGACGCGACGAGAAGTAAGGAAATACAACACCTACACCTTACAGGACGTTGGAAGAAGCTTTTCTTGGGGATTTCTTTTGCATATGCATGTGTTTGCATCAGTGTCTTACCAGCGACGCAGCTATCGGCCGCCTAGCCAAACGTCTCTTCCCGAGCTACTGAGCGGTGAAGCCTTTAGACATACCGGGTCCAGAGGCAATCTCGAAAGCCAATAGTACTTTCCAGTATGTAGTATCCGAAATCACAGGCTGAGTGGAGTGGGTATAGTAAATATCACATCTCTCCACGCTCTACACCTTCTCCGTCTCCTTCGGTACCGACCGTATCAGCTTCATGATCTCGCTCTCGTTCTCTCCAGCGACTGTCAGGGTTAGCATGTGTACTACTTCTCTCCTTTGCGGATACATACCAGCTTTTCCCTGATTCCAGTCCACGACAAGCGGTCTCTGGAAGGCGCCTCCGTCCGCCTTCAATCTCCTCATGGCGTCTGTCTCGTTCTCCGCCCCGCTGATAACTTTGCCTGCAGCGCCCGATCCGCCCAAGTAGTCCAGAATGTTCTTGAGCTGGTCGGTTGTCGGTGGGGCTTCTGTGACATCGAGCTCGAATTCTGTGCGCTCAGCCTTGTCCTGCGCTTGGTGAGAGCTGGCCTGGTCTTCAGTTGCATGCGAGACTGATTGTGCGTTGGCTTGCTTGAGGAGGGTGAGGACGCGAGTGGAAGCTTGGTTCGAAGGCGCGTGGAAGAGCGTCACGACGTTCTTTGCGCCGTGCTGGATGATGTTAGCAGGTGATGCTCAGAGACAATTCCAGAATTGCTTACCTCTCCAAAAAATCGCTTGAACATGGTTGCTGTTGGTGTTGTACTGTTGATGCTCTGCAAATGCAGGTGTTGGTGTTCTTACAGCTCAAGTGGAGTGAGGTTCGGGTGTGACGTAGATCGCCGCTTGGACCTGCCGTTCGTTCCCGCCGTAGGTATGATCACAAAGATCTACGATGCAGCACTCGAGGATCAAGTTACAAACAGGTAATGCAGAGCTTAGAAAGCTCTTGGTTCATTGATTCGGATCAAGGCAAGCTTGCCTAGGGCGCTTCGCTGTGCACGACAGTTTTCTCATATCTGGACGGGCTTGTCCGCTTTCGCAGGCGACCAAGATGCTATGGAGCTGCCAACTCAAAGACGTGAACTAAATCATCACATTGGAGATTGAAACGCAGTTCAATAAGTAAAACACAGCATCGGACCTTAGTGAAGTATGGAGGGTCAGCCAACGCGAAATGAGGCAACGCATGGCACACAGTTCAAGGTGACCAGATTTGGGAACACAAGCAGCTAGATTTCGTGATGCAGCTGTGCAAAAAGCAGAATGTACATGTACGCCATGAATATGCCCCCATCATCCCAAAGTGTGGGATCATGCTGCTGCTGAGGAACGTGCCGTGGCGACGTCCGTGATTCCCACTTCCCTCTGATCCAGAGTCATAGCCATCCTGAAGAAACCGAATTCATGACCGTATTCTCTAGCTCATAGTGCTCGTTTCGTTCGCCCTTCCTCTCGTGTTTGGCTTATGAGGTTGGGTTAGGGTTCATCTGGGACGTGTCAGTTCTTGCCCAGTATACAGGTATGCAATCTCTACTGACCTTGCGCTTGCCACCGGTCATGGTGACGTTCACGAAACGGCGGGTGTATGTGAGCCTCTTCTTGGCGCGGCCCTTAGGGGTCTTCTTCTTCTCCTGGGGCTCAACCTGTGTAACGTGTCAGTCGGTTGTCCACATCCACTTGACATCCTTAATCAATCCGTCCTTCTCCTCAAGCGTCGCGTGATCGTGATTCGACGTGTCGCTATCGGTTGGAGGCGTGGGTGTATCGATGGGTGAAGCTTACCTTGGGGGCTATACATTGTTAGCAGACATTCGCAATCGTTCCACATGAGCCAAGACTTACTTTGAGACTTGACCTTTCCGGCACGAGCGAGGGATCCGTGAACCTTTCCCATATTGGCGGTTGTTGATGGGTGTGATGAGTCGTTCGAAGTTGTCTGTGTGGTGGCAAAGTCCGATTAGCGGTGTACCTCTGGGGTTTCGAGTGATGGGTGCGGGTGGAAAGTCTTGGTTTCGCAAGGCTTCGCTTCTGGTGCAGGTGCAGTCGTAGGAGCGGACGGGATACGTACAGGTTGCGGTCGTTGGGTGTTCGTTGACTGGGCGGCGACGAGAGGGTCAAAATGACTCCAGGGCTGTGGACGGCGGCTCACCGGATTAGCCGAGATCACGTGCAGCGCTAGTGCATCGAGGTGTGAACATCGAGCTCAGCGCAACGACCATTATGCGTTCACTATAGCCATGTTCTGTGATGAACAATTAGAGTAAAGTGCACATATATAGCTGTATCATATCAGGAAGTTGTTGCTGATCATGTCGCTGCGCCTAGATGTTCCGATCGTTGAGTGGAAATCTCGCCTCCACATGCGCTCAGAGATGATCAGATAAGATAATGTGAGCCATCATCAAGCACAACGGATAACAGGTTCGACACGCGAGCTTCTTCAATGGCCCTCAAGCCACTTTCAAGGAGCGCGGTCATGCTTTGTCCAGATGCTCATGGATGAGCCATCTCTGTGCCCAACGCGGTCATGCCATCCGCAATAGACTTTACCTTTACCCTAGTCGGAGATCCCCGCCGCGGTTGGGTGTCGCATGATGCGTCGTTCCGTAGCTTCGCTCGGACGCGTCGCTGTTTGCCATCAGCCACCACCTTTACTGACGCTTCACTGTAGCTATCTAGCTCTTGGAACACCCTATTGCATCTATATATTACTCAGATACAAGCAGTAGCAAGATGCGTCTCCAAGCTGCCCTCGTAAGCCTTATCTCCGTCGCCTCAGCGTCCAACCTGCCATCACCCCAGCACTTCTTCGCGAATTCGTCCTCCAGCGATGGATCCGGCTTTAAGATTCCAACGGTCCACGAGTCTGCCGTCCAAGCTCGCAGGATCATGCGCCTAGAGAACATCGGCACCTTATCTACTGTCTTCCCAGATTCTCACATCACTGAGCAACGACCTTCGGATGTCGGCGGCGCGCCCATAGGCCTGATGGACTACTTCGGTGATTGCGAGTCCGACTCAGGCAACCCGACCATTCTCGCCATCACCATCGCGACCTCCTTCAAGAACGTAGATGCCGGCTCCAACATCACCCTAAGCATGCGATGGCACCCCCAGGACAACAAGTGGCGCAGCCCAGCATCGCTCCCTCGCTTCTCGCTCGTCGGCCGTCTTGAGGACATTGATATGGATGCTGTCAAGAAGCTGGGTGTGACGGCTTGCTATGTCAAGAAGCACCCGGATGCTGCGTGGTGGCTGCCGGGCAATAGCATTCATGAGAGCAAGTGGGTGCGTCTCGTTGTCGAGGAGATATACTGGATCGGAGGCTTCGGAGATCGTGCATACATTGGATGGATTCCCAAGGATGAATGGTACAGCGTTACTCAAGAGGAGATTGATGGCGTTCAGCTGCCTGGAGAGAAGCAAAGTGTCTGGAACACTCTCGGAAGCTGGTTCGGAATGGGTCAGCAAGAGGATGGAGCGTTTGAGCTCTAGATTGATTAATGAGAAACAGGGCATGATACTGCTTGGCACCTTCACATGTGGATCATGTAAGGTGACTTAGCTGGACTTCAATACACCCCATGGGGTGCAGACCATGACTTCTAGTGCTCTTCCATATGGTATCCGTTTGGGCCATCACGACAGGTATTCATACGCTACCTTTAGCTGACTCTGGCTACTTGTATGTGCAGCGAGATCATATCGAGATACGAGACCTGATTCCCTTCCTTAAATTGTTCGAACCACCCGATAGTCGAAGCTTTATTTAGCTTTCACGTGAATAAAGTTCCCGAAATTGGCAAAGTTTCCTTCCTTTGACACACATGCATGTGCGTCTTGTTCCGCCGGGTCTGCAGTATCTCTGCGGTGTCGATGAGAGGCTGTTGCGTGATGTCGCCTAATGGTGGAGCCTCAGGATTCCACCAAAGTGAGTCTACGCAGCGCAACGCTCCTTCCTCCACACGTTGCCCACGCTACGATGACAAATGAAACCTCCCGCCTCTAGCGGAGGCCACTTGAACACCTTGCGTTCTTCATCTGTATTCTAGTCTATGTGATTCGACTTGAAACTTTCGCGAAAGCAAGGTCGTGATGGGTAGCCGCGTAGTGATGGTGGAACGGCTCCTGCAGCTTTTCGCCCCCACGGCTTGTTGGCCTAGTCTCGCCACCTCTCAGCCGCTCTTCCAATGTTGCGCTACACGTTCTCTCGGGCAAATTCTGCATTACACGCAGTATCTGCGAGCGCTTCAGCGATTCAACTCGCATACAGTATATCGTCGTTGGCGAAAGACTTTCCAAAGGAACTGACGACAGCATGCGCCTACTCCGTGCGGTTGATATGACGTTCCACGAGTTCGAAGGCTCTTCTATACCCCCTTACGCCATTCTTTCGCATCGCTGGGAAGGCGAAGAAGTTACATATCAAGAGATAAGCGAACGTGCGACTTTCACCGAAAGAAGATCTTGGTTCATCATGAACCAGGAACTCAAGGTCCGAACGGCTGCCACAGAAAGGAAGTCTGGGTTCAAGAAGATACGACAATGTTGTGAGCAAGCATTGGAAGATATGATAGAGTACGTGTGGGTAGACACATGCTGTATCGACAAATCATCAAGCGCAGAATTGTCCGAGGCCATTAACTCAATGTACGCCTGGTATCAACGATCTTTGGTTTGCTACGCATACTTGGCCGACGTACATATTTGGCCAACATACCGGACAGAAGACGCCGATGGGTCCTGGGCGCAGGCGATTGATGGTACCGAACACATACCAAATGCACGTGGAGGCGGAGCAAGGAGGCGTAATTCTGCTCCGCAGTCCACAGAACCCATCACGAGTATGATAGGATCCAAGTGGTGGACACACGGATGGGTAAAATCTCCAATGTACGAATTGCGTGTGAGACATACTGACTTCGTACATCGACGTTCTAGACGCTACAAGAGCAACAGGCCGTAGAACCTATCGCGCGTGTCATGAGAAGCAACTGGTGGACACGAGGATGGGTAAAATCTCCTATGTACGAATTGCGTGTGAGACATATACTGACTTCGTACGTCGACATTCTAGACGCTACAAGAGCTAATAGCCCCGTCTGAGATCATTTTCTATGCGAATGGAACAACCGGCTGGAGCAAGATTGGCGACAAATCCACTTTGCTTGATTTGGTTGCGAAAAGAACCGGTATTGAGAAGTACATACTGCTTGGTGGGGACGTCATGAAGTGTAGTGTTGCACAGCGCATGTCTTGGGCCTCCGAACGCGAGACAACTAGGATGGAGGACTTGGCGTATTGCCTCCTCGGAATCTTTGGTGTCAACATGCCTTTATTATATGGAGAGGGCAGCAAAGCGTTTCTGCGCCTCCAGGTAGGATCGCCATGCACTTAGCTCTTCATGAACTCCCGCTCACTTCAAACAGGAGGAAATCATGAAACAGTCTGATGACCAAACACTGTTTGCGTGGCAGCTCGGTTTCGAGAGCACGAGAAATGATCTCGTTGGACCTTTGGCTATACATCCGTCCAAATTTCGAGGAGCCAGCACTTTGATGCCTATTCTTGATGACGATTTCCAGAGTCCGTACTCAATGACAAACAAAGGCTTAAGGATCGAGCTTCCGATTGTTCATCACGGCGAAGACCCTTATGGATTAGCTTTTTTACATTGCGGCACCTACAACACACGGACTGCCCTACCTGTTGTGCGCCTTGGGCCACCAGGAACAAATCGGTATGCTCGCGATGCTCGCTCCATTGGACCATTGATGACTATCGAAGTCTATCAACGTGCACCCACAGTCATTTTCATGAGTCAAGAGCCTGGTATCAGAGTAGAAAAGCGACGGCCTCTCCAGGTAGTCATCAGCCAAGACATTCTGATGCTATTCGATAAAGTATACTGTAGTGCCAGGGTTGACCAGTCAGCTGTCTCAGGTGCAGACGCTATTCAAGCGTACACATTTCCTGTTGGTTGTCGTCGCGGCGCGATACTAATGCCTGGATATGGCTACAATCTACTACTCTTATTCAACGTCGAGCTACAGCATGTCGGGCGATATACATGTAAGGTTATTTATGCAGGAGATCGTTTCCGTTTCCACGACTACTTGGGCACCAAAGTCCAAGAGCAAATCCTTCGCATGGCGCGCAAATTGCAAGTCCTTCGCATCAAGCGCGAATCGCAAAAAACGAATCAAACGACAGAAGCCGCTTTGGTTGACGAGCTCGAACAACTACCCATGTGGAATAGGATCCACGGGGACTCCGGTCCACCAAATAATCGGACTAGCTTCGCTGACTTACCGGATGACCGTAGGATCTTGGCCAAGTTTGCGCCATATGATGCACTCGATAGCAGAGACGACGGCAATCTTGTGCTACATATCGATATGCTGGATCAATCGGAAGGTCCACAGGAGCTATTTGAGCTGGAGTAGAAAGTAGGTGAAGGGAAAAGAGAGTGCAAGAGATAATAGGGATGAATGGCTTGGAGGCAGCCTGGGAACAACTGTGTCTGTCCATGCGGACACGTCCTCATGTTTCACTGCACCTTAGTCACTTAATACACTTCTGCCTCGCAAATGTGCACGCCGTGCAGAGTCCTGCCGCTACATCGTGCCACTACATCGTGCCACATGCTCACTTTCCAGATGTAACCGCAAGATACGTTGCATATGTTCGAACAAAAACTGAATTCATCCACAGAATCCTATGCACAAGGGCACTTGCCGAAAAGATGGCGTTTTGAATTGGTCTCGGAGAGGATTTGGATGACTACATCATCGTAATACATGCAAGATTGAAGGAACCAGTACCAAAATGTTCTGATGCATCATCAGACCATACGAGCGGAAAGACTACATTATACTTACACTGACCGATGACCGAAGACTGTCTCCGGAAACCAGATACTGGAGATGGCTCACTTCGTCTGGCGTGTACTGCAGCGAGCTACCTGCACCATCTTCACTACACGTTGGTCACTTGATACATATCTTCTACCTTGTCCACGCTATACATAATTCTACCGCTAGATAGCACACACACCTTCCTCTTTCTGCACCGTCTTTCTGCACTACGCCAGTTCTGACCCCAGCACCACTTCAAAGCAGCCGGCTCTTTCCCCAGACACAAACCGCACACCGCCTTATCGCATCAAGCTTGCGTCAACACCACGTGTCTCTTGCGCCGTGCTTGCGTGTACAGCTCGATAGATCGTATGTTCTTTGCATACGGCCAGATAGGATACACATATCGAGACGTGCTCAGATCTTCCCCAGTCCGCTCGGCTTCACAACAACGCATTCGCCCCTTCGCGGCGTATTAGTAATGACGATCGGCTGCAAGTCAGCGCTGTCAGGTCACTCGACCTCAACGCCGCTCAGATCTGTGCACTTCGCTTCCCTTCGGCCAGTTCAGCCGGTACACTCACGGAGCGGCTTCGTAAGTTCTCTTCTTGCCCTTTCGGCTCCAGCCGGTACACCTGCGGAGCAGCTTCGCAGCAACTCTCCACGCCCCTTCGGCAAGGTCAACCGATACCTTACGGAGCAGCTTCGCAGGAACTTCTTCGCGACCCACATGTTGCGCTGAGCAACTTTGAGTAACCTGGAGCAACCTAGTCGATGGATTCACGAGGCCACCCGCTCCTTCTCTTTCTCGGCGAGCGAACGCATTTGGCGATAGCTGACAGCCTCACATTCGCACACCGCATGGTCGTCGCATCGCGTAGGAGACAAGTGCGCTGGCGCTGGCGCGAAGGAGTCGTGCGCGCAAGGATGACGATAGAAAAATGACAAAGGAGGACAGCCCTACATCGACGATGGGGAACGTGTTGTCTCGATGAACTACTCAACATTACCATTGCAAGCTTACCAAGCTTCTTCCATGTACCTAGGTGGACAACAGCTTCATTGTCGCCCGACAACCGCATGATTCATCTGCGCCCCTTGGGCAGCGTCTGTACCTGAGCGTGCGCGCAACCAGGTCATCCCCAGCTTTTTCAAAATCCTTAGTCGTTGCTCATCCACGTTGTGTGCCTGATGTTGACAAGGAGCTTCCCAGCTGCGACAAGATCACGTGGCCCGGCCGTTTCTGCCTGAAAAGGACCTACTACACACGTCCCATAACAACCATAATATGATACTTAAAAAGGCGGTGACGTGGTGCATCCCAGTCGCATGAACGCCTCACAAGCGCGGCACGAAGATGAAAGGGAACAGCCTGGGAATCCTTCGGTCTGATCATCAATCACGTTGCAAACAAGCATCATGCCGGTAAAAGTTCTCTACGCGAGATGGACGTGAACCATGGGACAACACGAAACAGTCTTGCGCGATATGCGCGATTCTAGTTCCCGCAAGCCAGCCAAGCTCAATCGCTGCTTGTCGCTCAATGGCGAAACTCTCTTTTCGGCGATATCGTCATTTGGTAGCGAGAGTGGTAGTGAGGCGATCCCGAACGGTGGATGCCCAACGCTCTCCCTAGCATCAGGTCCGGAACGAGTCGCAAGGACAATACGAAGGGAGGGTGATCCGGCGATGGCGGCATGGCGCAATGGTACTTTCCACGAGTCGGCCCTTAGGTGTGATTTCCCTTTTCTGACTCAAACGTTGTTCCGGGAAGAGAGGGTGAGAGTGTGCTGAGTTGGACGATGCGGGTGTGCAGGGACGAGCCTTGATGTTGGCTGGAAGCTGGGATCATCCCATCTCTGATCATCCGCACGGTCACATCACTCCCCAAGAAGCCTTAGTTCCGGAGCATTTGCCCGCCTGGCGCTAGAATGCGGTTCGTGTGCTTGGTGATGCGAACGGGCAAAGGGTGGGCGTGGGCGTTCGCGCGACGCGGAAATTGGGCGATCACAGCTGTCAGGCTGCGTGTGCTGGGTGCAGCTATGACTCTGGCAGCATGCTGGTACACTGTGGATGCTCCGCCGGTTTGGTCTGTCTTGTCAAAGGCGCAAAGGCTGGTATTAATGTCCGAGATAACTGATATCGGCTTGGGGCTCGTTGCGGGATACGGTGCATGCTGATACTCACCGCCACGTGCTGCCAGCACGAATGCGATACAGATATCCACAATAGCACCGCCATTGTTGGTATAGCTGCCATAGCTGTCGGCACTTGGGATTCTCACAAAGACGGCGCAGACGGCTGTCGATCGCGGTTTTTTAGGCAAATCTTCGCGTCTGACCATGACAGTGGCATCACCTGCTCTCTCTGTCGGAAATTTCGGACGAAGCTTGCGGTGATGAGAAGGGGCCCTGGTCGACGGCAGGATGCGAGTCCAAGGTCCCTGCTTGACTGCCTTGTCATGAGTAGCGGAGAGAAGGAGGGGCAACGGTCGGTGTTATGGATAATTCCGTGCAAACCTCCTTCTCGAAGGTCTGGCGCGCAGGGATCATGGCTGATAGTTTAGAGTGCTATTCGCAAGGCCGCGTAGGGCGGCAGTAGCAACAATCTCGCAACAATTTCGCGGGCAAGTCGCCCAGCCATGACAATCTAGGGAAAGATTGCCTGGAGCAAGATTGCATACATCCGATGATAGAGCGCTCTGAGCTGCACAGCTGCAGAAGTAGGTGTTGTAGGTTCTGCGTGGTGGTGTTATTTCGAGAACGTCCCACCAAGAACCGTCGCGCGTTTGGTTCCGACGCAAAGGTTGGTTGATTGGTGATGGTGCTGATTAGAGGCAGCGCTGAGTGGCTGTGATTACGAAGGTTCCCCTCCCTCGGTACCTTCAATACTTGACGGCACCAGTCGTGACGGCAAAATGGTACGATACGTTCCCTTGATCGCCGCTGGGCGTGCGCATCGGTTCTTGGTTGTCGGAATTGATAGACGCATGGTGACAGCATGCGTTGGCGTACTATTTTCTGTAAGCGGGTGCGCGCAGAAACAGAATTGCTGTATGGCTGGAGGAATTGTGGGCTTTGTGTTAGATGGCTGCTTGGAGCCTCCCCTGCCGTCGTCGTATGGCCCGTATTGCCAGGCTCATCAATCTTCTCGTTCTGGATGCGCCATGATTGCAAGCGAGATGGAACTAGAACCTGAGACACTTGCGCAAAACCAAGATGATGCGCAGATCTTTCGCGAGCACGATCCAAGGGCTTGAAGGGGCGCTCCGATCCACCTGCATCAACAACCCGATTGGCACGAATCGTGTGCCAGCTCGAATCAAGGGAACTGCTAACGAGGTGGCGCTCCTTCATCTCCATCCCGCGATTGCTTTTTGTACTCTTGCTCAGCGGCTGTCTTCGCCTAAACTTTATCACACCTCCGGCAAGTAGCACACTTTCCGTCATCAATGCGCAAGAGAGCTTGGAATTGCTTGTTGAGTTTCAAGGTCTCAACCGAGGGAATTGCTTTTCACCATTCTGTGGGGAGACGATGCGTAACGACGCTCTGTGCGGTGTCGTGTCCGTTGTAAAGGATTCAAAGGATTCCTCTTCCGCGAAACGGATAGACGAGTGAACAGGGGTCCGGAATCAGACCATTTGTTTTCCTTTTGACGGCAGCCAGTGAGCCAAACGCAACCGACCTCACTCAATATTGACGTCGGCTCCTGGGTGGAGAGCCCGCATCGACGAGTTTGGATAACGAGCCGTTGCCGTTACGATGGTCGCCGCAATGCTGGTTTCAGTATTATTGAAAGCACGACTTTGTTATTCCGTATCCCACATGGTTAGATGAGTGACCCGGGGTTCGGAGAATAGTTAAGTGACGATCGTCGCTCAAAGCTCATGCGTTCATGTGCTGGAACACCTGCGGGAGGATGGGGCCAGACTACTGTATGTTGGCAAGTCACATGCGATCCCGAATAACCGCTGCGTGCTGCAGCCGAACATCGGGGTTGCACTTAACGTTGTTGACCCCTGAACAAACGGCTCACTGTAGAAGAAGCATGCGAACACAAGCGACGTTTGGTAACCACGTGTGGAGTAGAATGCGGGCATTAACATTACGGAGAAACTTGTGACCCAAAAACATGAGTCGGCATTCCGAGAGGGACATAACCTACCTCAGAGTCAATGGCACAGTATCGCCTCCACGCCTCCTAACTGACAGCGCATGACGGTTGACTCCGTGTACTCCTTCAACGCACTTGCTTTGTTCCAGGGTGGGATTGACGGATCGACACGGTAGTAGACTCAGGAAGACGTGTCTCTGAGCAAATGCATATTTTTTATCCATATAGACCGTGGCGAGGCGGAATGGTTCGATAGTCCGGACTTGGCTCCATGGACAACCGTTTTGGGGTCCATAGGTGTCGTTTACAGAACAGCATGGCCCATCCGGGAAAGAGTGGGCGGGTAAATGTCTCCTTGAACTTGAGCCCTGATCATAATGCAGTGCAATAAGCATCCAACGTAAGATTATCACGGGAGATGGACCAGTGACTCCAACGATCTGCAGGAATCCAGAGGATCGTTACGGCCGCTCGTATAGCTCGGGAACATGCGGTGATCCCGGAGTTGTATCAACTACCGTGGGGTCTTGCCGGGTTAGATGCGTGGACAAGCAGCTTGGAAGTGATGGCGACTGATGGCGACTGATGGCGACTGATGGCGAGTGACTCTCGCGTACGGATTAATTGTTACGCGAGGACTGCGACATGGATGACCCATCGGGAACGATCTATGCGCTCTCGAGGTGTCGTAAGTGTCAAGTGTGGCTCTGACGTGTCCGGTTTCCACTAGGTTTAGAAGGCGACTGACATGCAATGCGAAACATGGTTTCGCTCAATAAATCCACAACAACACAGGCAATAGCATGAACGTGACTTGATTTCGTAGACAGTATAGATTTGATCAGTTTTGGCGCGTGGTGGAGCATTGAATTTGCTCATGCAGGATCCCTACTATAATACAAGAAAATAAGGGCGGCTTGTTGGACTAATGCCATGCGCCTTGATGCGATAGCCAACAGCTGACCGGACTAGAAACTAAAGTTGACTGAAGGTAGCGTACATTATCGCAGTAGGTAGCGATACAGGATATCGTTGGTGACACGGGAAAGAAACTCCGGTGAAATGCATGACACGATGGAAAGCGCCCGAAACGCCGATGCGTGAAAATGGTATCGTTGGCAAGATGCGGCTGAACAAAGCATTTCGTGGGTAGAGACCACTACATGGTAGGTCGAGGCTTGTCAGGCCGATTGCGTGAGACGGTTGGTGATGGCTTTTAGCTCGTTATGTCGTCAGGGTGGTGCTGGAAGCCGCGTGGCAACCTCGCTCGTGTCGCTTCATGTTGCTGCGCACGCTGAAAGCTTTGCCACATCCAGGCTGCGGGCACTTGTAGGGCTTCTCGCCTGTGTGGCTGTGACTGTGGATGCGTAGGCTGCTTGGCCGCGAGAAGGCCTTGTTGCAAGTCGAGCAGATGTACCGATCCTGGGACTGGGGAAACTGAGACTGGCTAGACGTGCTAATGTAGTGATGGTGTTGCCATGGGTTGGAGCCGTTCGAAGCCGGGCTGGGTACAGGAGCAGGCAGGGGTATCGAGTGGGGCTGGAAGTTGGAAGGCAGCGGGCGTTGCGCATACATTGCTGTGTTGTTGTTGTACGAGTGCTGTTCCGGCGAGTAGAATGAAGTCGAAGAGGCAGCGCCTGGTGATGACTGATACGGCGACTGGCCATAGATGGAAGTACTGTAGGGGGACATGGAGTGCGACTGCAGTGAGTCGCGCTTCATTGGAGGCATTGATGAGAAGGACTGGCGTTGCTGGTGCGGCTCCATGTTGTTGAGCGAGCCGCCAACGAAGTAGGGCGCGGATGCGGCAGAGTGATTTGATGCAGCTGAGGGAGACTGCGTACCGTCGTGTGATACATCTGGGTGCATGGGCGGTGTCGGAGGCAGTGTCATCCTGGGGTTGCTCGGAGCAGGCGCTTGAGCGTAGACGGTTTGTGATGGTTGCTGCATGGCTCCTGCCCCTCCCTGCTGTGCCTGCCTTAGTTGCGGCGATGACGACTGGCGGTGCTGTGACTGCGGACTTTGGGAAGCTGCGATGAGTCAGTATGATGGTGAGGCAAGGTGCAATGATTGGCGCCTACCTGTCTCGGAAGCAGCCTTGTCGTTCCCAGCAAACTCGAGGAGACTTGAGATAGATGGCAGTGAAGGCTTCTTCTCCTCTGCTGGTGGTGATGGCGGCGACTGCGGCCGTTGCTGCTGCTGTTGTGGTTGGTGTATGTATTGTTGTTGTTGTTGATGTTGCTGCTGCTGCTGCTGTTGTTGCTGGCGGTATTGCTGCTCGACCTGAGGTTGAGATGGAGTATGCACGGGATATGAGGACGCGGCAACACCCGACATGGGGAAGGCGCGAGGTTGCGACTGCTGGAAGTAGGCCGGGTGCTGGAACGACTCGCGCTCCCTAACGCTGCCGTGTACCATACTGGCGAGATGCATGGCCATGGAGGAGGTGGATGTCACGGGGCACAGCAGTGGCTGCGTAACAAGAGAGAGAGAGAGGAGTGGGTGAAGGGAGATGGATGATGACAAGATGGAGAGTAGTCAAGGCGACGGGTACAAGCAGATGTAGAGCCAGGAATTCGGGCCTGCAGCATTCAAGTACGGTGTCGAGGGGATTGGCGAGATTCAGCACGAAGCCCGTTCGCACCGTAGCGTCGTCAGTGGGCCTGTCGTTCCCTGTCCAAATTGCGTTTGAGCGGGCGATGAGGCGGCGGACCGTTGTCAAAAAGCCCACGTCCCACTCGAGTTAGCCCGAGACGCTCAGTCCCTTGCAACGGCAATGCAGATGACAGACGGACGAGGTTTAGAGTGAAGATGTGCACGCCCCGTAGTAATGCCTTGGCCGAGCGATCCGCCCACGCATCCCAGACGTGCCAATCGACGCTGCACCGGCGCAACAGCGCTTTTGGGACAGCCCAGGCAGGGGCCCTGGCCGCTGAGCCAGGACAGGCCACTCTGCACTGCAGATCGACCGTTCCAGGAGATACCTGAGGAGAATCCTCGTGGGCTAGTCGGAAGCAAGTAAGCTGCAGAGCCGCTGGGATCGAGTGAATGCCCGCGACGTTCCCAACGGGGCGGAACAACCCTCGCGGATTCCTCTCACGCTGCTGCCGCCAGATGACGACTCAGGCCGCACGTCGCCGACTGCTGAGTCCTGCCAGCTGGCCCTCCAACGGCGCTTGGGTTGACGACGCAAAGGGTCCTGGCTGCACGGGCGCCGGGGATGCACCGATCGGTACTCTTGCCAGACTCCAGAGCGCACTGCCGACGTACTTTCCAACAGTCGAGGAGATCCACCGCGGCCTGTATCTCTGGGTGCGGCGGCGAGCAACACGGATCGCGCTGACGAAGGATTACGCAGGGGGCGAGGCTTGGGAACGGCTGCGATGCTGGCCTTCGGAAAGAGACAATGATGAGACGTGCCAGACACGGTGCTGCGCCTTTGGCACACTTTAAAGAAGCCACCACTGTCCACCCACCTCATGCCGCCTTCGTGAAAGGGCACCGTCGCAAACCATGTCAGTCAACTAGACGATAGCACCGTATCGTCCCGGGGGCGTTTGGCTCCAGGCAAGTCACTGCGGAAGCGAGCCAAGCGCCTCGTGTAGCAGAAGCTGTCTAGTCGTACCCACCAGGCGCTGTCTTGACCATTGTCACGACTGCATTTCTTAAAAATCTGATCCCGCATTAGAGAGGGTCCGCCTGCAGTGATGCACATGGCTGCAGCCGCGCTGGGTGAAGCGAAGCATCGCGTGCGGGATGATTTGCTGGCAATTATTGGAGGCGGTCGACCTTCGGTCATGTCTTGTAGTGCGCGGTCGTACAGAGCTGTCCTGGCCACCGTCACCGCCATGACGGGTGAACTCGACGGACGGTCACGGGACTGACTCGTCCCGACCTCACTCATTACCTTCTCCAGGACATGTCCCAGCACGCTGCATCGAGAACGCTCACCGCATGTTTGCTTGCTCCAGCTAACAGGTTAGGCCGTGTGCCAGCGACAGATTGGTTTCAGCAAAAAGGCAAGCGCGGGACGTCAGAACGACGGCTCGACGGCTGTTGCCTCTTTGCAGCGACAGTCTCCGACCCCAGCACGCGACGTCTCTGCGGCGCCGCCAGGGCGGGATGGCGGCGTTATCCCATGTCTTGGCCTCGTTCGTCTGTGGAGGATCTCGTCGAAAGAGGCGGGTCGATCAGCGACAAGCGCATGCAGCTAATCCCGGGGGCCACGTTGGCTGTCACCATCTGCTCACTACTCTAGCCGACCTCCCGCCATCCAACCACGCTGCCCTCTGCCATGCTTAGGAGCGCCTTCGAGAAACACGCTGCGCGCGAGTGAGATGCCACCGCAGCCTGGCACCGCTTGCTTATGTATCGTCCACCACGAGGCGCCGCAGATCCAGCAAGCAAAGCCGAGTGTCTGGTGCTCAAAAGGAAGACTGCAGTTACCGTGCAATCTCTTTCCTGCGTCGTCATCAAGGGCATGATACGTTCCGGTGTCGCACAGCATCTTCCCAGCTCGGTGCAACACGACCTCGTGGCTCTTTTCTTCGCTAGAACAATCGAAGCACAAGACTTGCAGGGCTATCATGTGTACGACCACCGACGCAGACGTGACCGACCGTGGCATCCCACTCTATTGGTGCTCTTGATCTAGAGACATGGGCACAGACGTGAACTCAGGGCTTCCGTCGATGGAATTTGGGAATTTCATCGCTTAGGCCTGCGCGAGTGCCGGGCGTCTCGCGCATCACATTACCACCGTCCTGGATACCGAAACCGCAGTCCACTTCAGATGCCACGTTGCGCACTTCTCAAGCTGTGGAATTTGAACATAGCTGCAACACCGTGCGGAGCATAATCCCATTCGGTCGCCAGTATCTAGCAACCTGGACAGCGTATCTGCGTGGTAGAATGCGAACGCCGAACAGGGTGCATGATCTCCCGGAAGACCACCACCCAGGGACGCTGCGTCCGGTCTCAGGGTGCGCGGGACTGGCAGGGATACCGATACTTGGACCGCATCATGATCCATCATCAGCGGGAACACGCTTACTGCAAGGAGCCTCCCTAGTGCTTTCCGAGCGATCGTCTCGGCGTTTCATTTTCACGAATCGGCATCCCAGCGGCATGTCACCCACCCTCTTCCCCGAAGCTTCCCCGTGTCTTCCAACACCTCTTCCCAAAATCCGACATTGTCGTCAGGTCCACAGCGTATCGCAATGCGAGAGCATTTTTTTCTTTCTTCTTCTAAATATCCACAGCGCTTTACGGGTCAGTGAGAGTAGCTCTGGCCTGACCCCTGTACTTTGTACCCCCGTCTGCTCCATGCATGACACTCTCCAGGGTTTCTCCGGCTAAAACGCCCAAGCTGGACAAGCCCGAAGATTGCAAGGCTGTTCTCCTCATCAGGCGTCTCATTGGCCCTGACCAACAAAAATATTCCATCGATCTGCCGCGATTCGTCCAGCGTCCACATCGTGTGATGCTCAGATGAGGGCTATGCGAACTTGCACTTTAAGCCATGACGCAGCCACGCGCTCTCGCTTAGAGTAACAACAGCCTTAATCATCCCAGACGTCACGGAACAACGCCCTATCAATTGCAAATCCAGCAGCTACAGTTAACCTCCAGCAGAAGCTAGTTCGTAGTCACGTTTTCGAACTGCCTCATCACAAGATGAAGGTAGAACGTCATGCACGAGCTCTAAGCAACTACCCGGTCAACTGGCTCCGTCATCGTCTTCATTGCATACATCGGTGGGTTTGGTTCTGAACTCGTAAGGGTGTACCCTGGCAAGTTGACTCCTCCAAGCGCTTACTCGTGTAAATTAGGCAAAGAAATGAGCCCAACCAAAATGAGGCGGAACCGACAGATTGGAGATATATCGCGACAAGGCCAGCGGTACCTAGTACGCAGGAGTGTTAAGAACACATGGTCTGCTCTGAACTGCATCGGACATATCTATCGAGCCTTGATCCTGCACTGCCGGCAAATTTTCCCCACCTGCACTTCTTGCAAGCAAATTCGGGTTGAGTCGAGATTCAGAATTGCTGGTACAACGGAGATTACCTCGTGGTAACCTCTAACATGATGAGATTCACCATCCGTGATCCTACAATCGCGGTGCCATCAATGCAATGGGTCAACTGGTACCTACCTGCCAGTAGATCAAGTCTGATCCATCGCGCCACTGTTACTGGGGCGCAATTGCCCTGCAGAACCCCCTTGCGGAGTTGGACGGTGTTGGCAATACGGCTAATACGTTGTGTCTGTGGTCGAACAGCACTGCGGTGCGTTTTGAGGCGTCCCCAGGAATTGAGCATACTCTGTCTTCAATCTCCCCAACCTCGTCGCTGTTTTGAATCCACACACAGGGGTTCGGGTGAAGCAACAACAGCAGCCACCAAGCGGGCCGAATGGGGCAGCAGAGAACCCAAAGAGTCAACGGCGAAAATGAGCGGCCCAGTCGTGTGTCTCGTACCCTGTTCCCTTCGCACCATTTTGAGCATGTTTTCCGGATCCATTACGCCACGACAAGGGACCGCGTAGATCATTTCTGATCACCGCGTCGAGGTGGGCTCGGCTGACAGTGAGATTCACCAGGATATCGTGCGGCCAAGTCTCAGATCAGCCGGATCAGAGGGGCTGCCAACCAATGCCGCCTTTGCCGGATCACGGGTGAATTGTATTTCGCCTTCGATCTAACCGTCCGTCCGTATGCTATGCGCATCGCCGCCGATGAATCCCCATAAGCAAGGTGTTCGGTACGACTTCCATTCATGGTTGCAGCGGTACCTGCCGCGGATATGCCTTCTTCGTCAGAAGACGGAGAAGCTGATTCAGTATGGGGAACCATATGTCCAGTGCCGCTGTTTCAGCCGCTCAACTTCGAGATCCACTTCTGCAAGACATTCAAGCCATTCACCAGCTAACCATCTCTGGCTCTGCAAAAGCACGACCACATCAAACAAGGCATGTGGAGCTCGCGATGTGAAGCTCATGTAACCCTCGAGCCGGACCAGTTGCGTATCAGCGGCCGCCGATACTCGATAGTGGATTCAAATTGTGGAAAAGCGATATCTTCCAGACATGACTGGATACCTGAGGCTTCTTTTTCTAGGCCCCTGTTCAAGTGACTCGGCCTGACCCACCAACGTCCGCGTCGGCCTGCCTCACTCCCCTGTTATTGCAGAAATCGTTAGCGCACCCTCCTCCGCGTGGCTGACGCTCAGCGAGGCTATTCGTGAACGTTGCGTGACAGGACGTTAGCATCGTTTGGCCGGCGCCATCACAACGCTACCGGCGATACCATGAGATCGCTGCCACTGCTACACACTCGCGGCCTTGCTCACCGTATCCGGTCTACTCCAAGTGTCAGATCTCGAGGAGTTGCCTCTAGTGTTACCCCCGTGTCTTCCTTATTCAAGCCAGCAGTGCGACAAGGTGAGTGGTCAATATGTGACCTGCTGGGAGTCTCCTGCGGCAGCACAAGGCTTGCTTCTGAAAAGTGGTCCGACATCCGCATACGGCCTGTATCCCGCCACATGATTTCCACCACTGGGAATCTTGCTCCCTTTGCAGTGCTTCAGAAGGATCACATAGTCGCGATCGGCGCCGATCTATGCTCAACATGATCCGCAATTATAGCGCCAGGGGGTACTCAAGGAGAGTTTTGTTCACACGGCGGTCGATTCACAGGTGCATAATGAACGCAGGACCAAGCTCACCAGTTTGCCGCTGTCAATGCGCTGGACTCTAGACCTGGGATTATGCTGAAGCAGTGGATTAAGCCGTTAGTGACCGTTGTTGTTGTTGTTTTTCCACAACGTCTATCCGAAGGAAGCTCCTTGTGGGACACGAATGCGCAGTCCATCGACGATGTGAAGGAGTCGAAGGATGCACCGCAAGATTAGCCCGAGGGGCCCACGACACGTCAATCACGAACCCACGATCTCCGTTTGAACTTCGGCTTCTACTGACTAGCACATGTGAGACCCGGTGCCGCGGGCAGATCCCAAGTGCTTTGCAATGATTACGGATCACCCTGTCCGTCTGTGATCTTGAGTTCATGTGTCGGCACCCGCGCATATCTCGCATTCGGAAGCCCACCCGCTACATCCCAATCTGCAAAGGTCATCACACGTAGGGGCACGATCGCGCCGGGGTTTTGGATGTCGGGCCCCGCGACAAAGACGAAAAGTTCGCAAAAGGCTTTGCAGTTTGATGACCCAGTGACCCTGTTAATACTGCGAGGCGCTTCAGTGTATGCACCTGCAACAGTATATTCCGAAGCTACTGCTGCAACTGAATATTGGGTGTGTTGCATTGCATATCGCCGAACAGCGCGCAGCAAACGACACTGCCGTGATCAAGGGTGGGGCACAAGATCACTGTCACGGTCTGTCGGTCCTTTAACAACGTGAAACTGTCAGCAGATCCACGTTTATCGACCTGGCTGTCGGGAGCCGCACCGCCCAAGTCAGATGTGTACGTGGACATCACTCTATCTAAACCTAATCTCCATCAACTCCGGGTAAGGGCTTTTACGTGTGGTGGGCATGTAATACCGGTCGGGCTTATGCAGCCTGAGGATCATAGCATGGGTCTTTGTCCTTGCATCCTTTGACCTACCCCATGTTGGTAAGCTCCGTGCAATCTGGATCGCTCAGGAATATGGGTTTTATTTTTCTTTGCCAGTCTGCATGCATGCGATACGGTGGGCTCCGCAAGCAACGCAGTATGTCACTCCCGTGTGTGAAAACCGTTGCAGATACATTGGTACTTCGCCGACGACGTTTACCTGCAGCCGAAGGAAGGGGGTGGTATGCGGGCCTAAATTCAATGAGATGTAACGTACATCGCAATATCTGTTTAGCTTCTTTCCTGGATCGTGTCGATACCCGAACCCAGTGCGGGATCTGCCAGCCTGCGTGCTCCAAACTTGATATGCCGCAACGGAGGCAAGTATGACGACATGAACGGGCCCACAACGTCTATCACCAAGGTCCCAAATCAAGACACTCCGAAGCCCCCACTTTCCGATACATGACCGACATCATATTGGAACAACAACTTGGTCGGAACACGAGAAGGGGTCTTGGTTACTGTACCAGAAATGCAAGGCAAGCAATATACCTGCCACTGCAGTGCTTCTACGTCATTCGTGGGAAAACCACACCCCTGGTAGATGTAAGAGCACGCACGCATAATTCATTGCACTCCCGCACACATCCTGCAGCCCAGCCAGCCACCCCAGCTTACCCGAGCTCGGAGCCGCCGCAATCCCATCCCTCCCATCCCTTCCCCCATCACATCACCCACCCTCGCTCTATACCAGGGTAATCTTATCATCAGCATCTCTTACCTCGTATAACCCGCCAATTCGCCAAAAGGCTTGGGTTATAATGGCAGGCCCCCAGCCTACTAACAACTAACTTGGTTCCGGCAGCGGTTCTTCTTTTCTCTCCGCATATGCGCCGTTGATCCGCCCTTCTGCACCGCTCCTCTCTCCCCACGCTCGTATGACGTGTGCCATTCTGTGCACCAAGCTCTACAGTGACGCCGGATAGAAGGGTTTCCGTAAAATAATGCCGCGCCTTATATGTACGCTGTATATTCGCTTGACCTCAGCCTTTTCGTTTGCCTGGCGAATCGCTTGGATATACACTATACCACATACTCACTCACTCTCGCTCACGCGCGCCTTTATGCAACCGCAAATGCAAGCTGTACATACACTAAAGCCGCAAGCGAGGGCTGTCTTCTTTGCCTAGTCTCCTCGCTATTCGTCTCCTCGTCGACGATATTCCGTGCGCTCATTTCTCCCGGCGGCCAATGACTCCTCCTGCATTTTCTTAGTGAAAGCGACGGGGTATTGTTGGAATGAGGTACCAAGGGTAAGCGAAGGATTCTTGACAGTCGCAAGGTGATGCGATGCGGGCTTAGCGTGGATCTGTGATCTGAGGTGATCGCGTGGGTCAAAAGATGGGGCTGGCGTTTGCAGAAGGTTGGTCGTGATGGAGGGTGGTGACGTGGTTGTGACGGCTGGGAAGGCAGTGTGTGGCTCCGATGGAAGGCTGGTGTATGGCTGTGTCGACGCCAGTGCGGTGTGTTGTGCGTATACGAACGGCGAATCATAACTGCGTGAGGGGATGCCTATGAGAAATACTCCGTAGTTAATATGCCTACTTGAAGTCGCCTAGGTCAAGTTCACAGCCGACCGTATGTCTCTTGACACATTCTGCTAAGTGTGCATACTTCAGCATCTTTAAGGAGACAAAATCAAGTTTGATAGTACAACCTTTCCCATCTCCATAGAAAGAACCACAAGATCAAGGGATGCTACTTTTCGAGCTTCCCAGTTACATGTATATGTTACTAACCTCATACTCAACCTTCTCTGGCCACCTGCGATTGCACAGTATACTTCTAACAATGTCACCTGTGCCATGTGTGCCATGTCAGCAGGTGAGAGCTTATAAGTGTATATCATGATACATTGTTTCCTTGCTGGCATCTTAAATCCCAAACTGGGACTTTTTGACTAGTGATATCCATGACGTGGGATGAGAACGGCAATCGTGGGCACATCAACGACAGCGAAAGAAGTAAGATAATCACATCTTCGCTGTTACCCAACATCGTTTTCGGGTGCATACATTTCGCACAGAGTATGGCTAAGCAGGGGACAGATAACAAAGCAAATGACCCAATTGACATGTCGTTCCTGGCGGGGACATCTCTGGTAGGAATTATCACTATAACGAGATAGTACATTACTCGGATAGATACATTCGAACAAAAAGGTATAAGATTAGTAGGCTTTCATCGATACGCGGGAAAGCTTTCTCCTTAGCGAAGCTGCGGTCGCAGTCTCATCATGTGCATTACCAACTCTTTGATCTCGATTGTCACATGCATCGAGTGACTACCGCAATTATACCCTACCATCTCATCCTTCGATACAGTCGCGCGCAATGCCTGAGGTACAGATGGCTCTATGCCCGGGCTGTTATGATGGATATGCATAGAAACGTATCGAGACACCACAACTCGACCACTTCGAATGCGAAGAAGTAGCACGCTCGTCTCAAAGGGAACTTTGAAGATGTCGATGTCACCCTCCAATCATATGCCTACCTAGTACTGGCGAGCCGTCTCGCTGGGATCAGAAGAGAAGGCAAGATTGGAGTGCACGTCATCACGCACATATGTGGAGATTGAGCACAGAACTACAACGATATGCGTTGATTGAAGCCAACGTGCGAACCTTGATCAGGATTATCACAACCGCTCATACCTGCCTGTTGTGCGAAGCCACCTTACGTGAAGGAGTGTTTCCACCATCAGACTACTCTTCACGACCCCAAATATCCATATCCGGGAACCATTCGAAATCTGGTAACTTACCCGTGAAACCAATCCCAAACTGTTGTTCACCATCGAAAACCCTTGTATAAGACTCAAGCATTTCCACGTACGCCTTTGTTTCCGCGTTTATGTAACGCACCGGGCCATAACGACGAAGATCGTACCTGGCCACATCTATGTCGCCAAAATCTTTGTCCTTACGGTTGTTGTTCAAGAATAGGGCAGCAGGACCTTTGCCATCCGGTAGTTCGGTCGCAAGATCGGCTATAAGTTGTTTGACTGGAACTGAAGGCCAGCTCGAGAACACAAGGGAGCCTTCATTGATGGCCAGGAAGCCTTGAGGATCGCTCACTACCTCAATCGGTTCTGCTAGCGTAGAAAGCGTCATGCGGTCGAGGGAGGTGTAAGCAGGGTCTTGCGCAATAATTTTGATGGGCTTTTCGAGCGGTATGCCTTCTACTTCATACAATTGTTCGAGATCGTGAGCAATGAAAGAAGCAGTCCTATGCTGCACTAACGAGCGAGCTTTCGCAAGGTCTGGAGCTTCCAGAGTTCCGAGACCTATACAGACGATGTTGGAGATTCGGACCGTGTGTACGAGCTCTCGAAGGCTATGGTGCAAGATGTCGGGCGCGCCGCTGGAGCGCCAATACCACCCGTACAAGTCCATTATGAACGCTAGGCTGGGACGGCTGTGAAGTTCGGGGCTTTCTGGTAACGGGTCACCAGCTCTCAGATGACTAGTGTCGACGTGATCAGTGCGTACTTCTTGACGTTCTCCAGATCTTAGAAAAACTGGGAGTGCAGGGCGGACGTCATCAGCTTGGAAGATTTCAGTGAGTTCATGGATTCCGGAGTAGAACAAGACAGGAGCTTCACTGTCGGCGTGTTAGCGCTAGAACGAGTGTCTTGTTGCATTATCATAAGTAGAACATACTCGAACGAAGAAAATATTTCTCCTGGGAGGAAGAAAGGCTTGCCATAGCAATCCAACAGTGTAACGTCCTGGCCGCTGCGAGCTCGAGTCAGTTGATCTGCGGCGTTGCCAAGCACGAAACGACTGTAGATCGGGCGGCCTCCAAGTGAATCTGTGAAGGCTTTGATGTCTAGAACTGTATGGGACCCGTTTGTGGATCCAATTCCGATTTCCTCAAGCACATCGGCGAGGGGCTCGTGAGTCCGGGTGGGAAGTGTCTCGTTGGCTGATCCCTGGAATTGTTGCGCGCCGATGGGACACATATCCCACCATATGGCAGCTGCTGGAGCGGCTGAAAAGTTCATTCCCGATGATGCAGGCTGCACGCCCCATGTGTTCTCCATTGTTGTTGATAATCGTAGTGTTAGAAAATTCGGTATCGAATGAGACGTCGAGAACGATCGGATGAGTAGTTGGGAACCGTAACGGGCGATATGCTGACAATAGTGGAGGTGTGGGACAATGATGTGCTGACCTAACGATATTGACAATGGGTTGATGGAGGACGAAGAGTGTAAGAGTCAGCTGGGGATGGAAGTAAACATGACCCGAGCTTGTGAGCAGATGCCTCATGTACGTATGCCACTGCTGCTGACGGTGATGTGAGGGAAGAACAAACTTGGATCTATGGGTTGGGCAAGATCATACTGTAGCGCAGTCCGTAAACCCGCCGTTCTGCCATCCCTGCAATTGTGAGTGCCGGTAGCGATAGCGTTGCTCTATAAGACACATCCAGTGGCCCTGTAGCTGTCACAGCTGATGATAGAGTGACACAAATCCCTAAAATTCGCATTGTAGCCGCCTCGACTAACGACGGAGAGGCTCCAGTCACCGAAGCGCATGTGGTGGATGTTTCAAAGGCCACCTGAACAGCTTTGGTAGCCATTGGGAGTGTCTTTCAGATACCTTGCGGTCCTTGAACTGCTATTGCGTATCATTCATCAGAAGTGTGGCTTCCGCGCAGCCGATCGCGATACCGTATGCAACTTGACACATTATGTAGAAACTGCGAATGAGATGAGGACATCTTCCCTGGGAGACAATGAGCGAGAGCACGTAAGACACGCGCATGCATCAATGTTAGTCTTCTCTGGACCGTCGCGAGGCGCGACCCCTGAAGTGAGGCTCATCGTAGACGGCCTGGGTAAGCTCCGCAATCATGAGCGAAAGCGCGTTGAGGTAAGTTGGGAGGTGCAACTACTCTTGAGGTGGCTGCTGTGTTGCAGAGTAGGCGCGCAGGGACGATGACGCGATAGCGCGGAAGTGGACCATTAGCGTCTGTTTCCATCGCGTCTTCCCCACGTGACGCGTCTCTTACCCTCCTTTGGATCTGCATCGTTGCATTGTCGCAAGCCTCATTCAGGCGCTCGTTCACTGCTAAAGTAATTGAATAGACTGCTCCTAGATCCATGGTACCTGTTCTTCCCTGTGTTATCGGCCATAATTTTTGAGGGCCTCAATTTTCACCTCGGCTTGGGCGAGTGTCGCCACCCATGTGGCGCCTAGTATTAACGAAGAGACTGCGCCTTTAACTTGGTTTAGACTCTAGTCTAGGTTTAGGCGGGTTAGGAAAGTCGTACTTTGGTATGCGAGTTGATTGTGATAGCTCTGAGGTGGTTTGCTGGAGTGCTGTTGGGCGCTTCACCACAGTACCGTGGTCGTTGATATCGAGCCCGTTACGCGCCCGTTATAACGTGAAACACATGATTTCGGCATTCAGCACTCCCAAGGAACATTGTACAAGCCTTTTCACTCAAAGCATGAGATGATCGTATACTCCAAGCGCACACCATAGCATAGATAGTCCCAAAGCGGCCCTTGTATACTCATTATCTACCGATGACGGATCGCTCTACATGTGATGCATCGAGGTTATTCAGAAATCACTGGTTAGCTTTAAACAACTTACGAGAGACCGTGAGCTGTGAATGTAGACTAGAAAATGTCATAGCGCGTGGAGTTTGCTGCAACAAGAATATCATGCTCTAAGCCAGGAACGAGGAAAACCAGTTCTTTGACACCAAAGCATTGTTTTGTGAACAAAAGTTGTCAATGTCGTGCCTTTTCTGGCTGTTGCGGATATTTCGAGCGGGCTCTATGTCTTCTGACATTGAGTCACTATGTACCCCAATCTGGCCTTAAGAAGGTATTCACATATCTGAACAACTGTAGTAAGGGCAGCATGACTATTTGCAGGTGGATAAAGATATACCAAACCTTTTGAATAGAGTGGTACTCTGGCTATACTCTTTCCTGGTACGTCGAAACCGTTGTAATTTTTGCAGTGCAACGTACCTATGCACTGGCACGAAAGCTGCAACGTTCCCTAGTCGCATGGACATTTTCAGCTGACTGCATACGGATCCATTCCAGCTACAGTCATATGCAGCGCTGAGCCTCTGCTTACAGATATGCTGTCTTTGATATCGAGATAGCATATACAATGCCTCGTTTCGTGGATAGAGTCTTGTGTACCTGCGGCAGTTATCGTTGCTAGCATCGGCTACAGGTACTTTGTTAGTAAGTCGCTCAATCCTTTTGTTGAGACTTTCGCACGCTAACGCCGTTAGTGTTTGCGTGCCTTACGCTGCTCCGGGCAGTAGTCCTGCAGACAGTGGTTTGGGGTGTTCAAAGACGAGATTGTGTTACAAGTGACAGATGCGACGAGGAGCAACGAGCTTGGAAATACGCACACGCATATGATGCCCTGGCATCAGGGTCTAGTTGTAACTGGGCGAGACGCGTGCGATACTGGAAGCCCGGTTTCGAAGCCTCTCGGCCTTTTGAGTTTGTCGCATCAGAGTCGCGTCGACAAGTTTCCTTTGCCATGTTTCAGAGTGAGCCAATTAGGCATGTGCTCTGGTAAGCAGAGATACGGTGTGGGCGCAGGAAGGTATATCCGGCGAACATCAGGTATGCAGGGAGCCGAAGGGGACTAGGGCGGGCGAAAACCATGCAGACCCGTGGGTGGAATAATCAGAATCTGAATAATTTTAGTGCAGCCAGCGCGCGTATATACAAGCCGCCCCTCCACGTTCTCTTCCGTGTGTCTGCCCTCGCTTTTTCAGTTTTCTTGTTGTATAGACTCTCCACTCTTCCGTTGGGGCGTCTCTACATTCACGCTTGATACCCAGGGTTTTCACCCTTTCGCGCTGTTGGGCACCGCTTACGCTTCAGCCGCCGCGAATAATTCCATACCGTATCGATAAGCCCCTCCACCAAAAAGAAATCGCTCGTCGCAGATTCACAGCGCAGCACCACACAACCTTGGAACCGGCTTCTTTCGCAGATGCCGCACTCCGAGTCGCCGCCTATGGCTCCCGCTATTGTCGTCGACAAGGCCAGCGCAGCCCCTGCGCCCTCGCAGGAGGATGTCAACGCCTTCATCAGCAGCATCGTCACCGCAAAGACGTCGCACGCCTCAGTAGACGCCGCCTACGCCCTCACAACCCTCCTCCAGAACTCAGTAGGCTTCCGCGGCCTTACTGGCTATGGTATACTCGAGGAGATTAAGAAATCGGCGGCCAACAAGAAGGATGCTGTGCGGAGGGAGGGCGCCATGAACGCCCTCGGTGCCTTCTTCGAGCGCCTCCCGCGCACACAACGCCTGACAGAGGCCATCTTCCTCGTCCAGAACGAAGGTCTAGTACCCATGGTCCTTGACTTGCTGGCAGACAAGACTGGCTCGGTCAAGGAGTCGGCCAAGTACGCTCTCGACTCGCTGTTCGAGAACCTCAGCGCCGAGGCCAAGGTCTTCGGCCTCTTGCCTGTGCTGACCAAGTACCTGGGCAAGAAGTCCGGAAAGTGGCAGGGTGCTGCTTTCGCCTACGAGCTCATCGGCCGTATGGCTGACAAGGCCAAGATGGGCATGGAGAGCCTCGAGGTCGAGAAAGAGAAGGATGTTCTCCGCGAGGCCATGGGCAAGAAGCTCGAGGGTCTCATCCCCATCGTCGAGGCCGGCATGCACGATCTCAAGAATGAGGTAAGATATCTCACGCGCCGTCTCACACCCACCGTACTAACCACGAGCAGGTCGCAAAGCAGTCTGTCAAGACAATGAACAGCCTTACCACCCTCCTCCAGAACGACGACATCGCGCCCCGGATACCCCTCCTGGTCAAGGCCATCGAAGACCCCTCCACAACGAGTCTGCAGAAGGCTATCCACGCCCTCTCCCAGACCACCTTCGTCGCTATTGTCACATCCCCCGTCCTTGCTATGGTCACACCTCTGCTTGAGCGCTCTCTGAACATGCCTTCCACATCACAGGAGGTCACCCGCCAGACTGTTGTCGTAGTCGAGAACTTGACCAAGCTCGTCCACGACCCTATCGAGGCCCGCGCCTTTTTGCCCAAGCTTCGCCCAGGTGTGCAGTCCGTCAAGGACCGCGCTTCCCTGCCTGAAGTCCGAGAGATCGGTCAGCGTGCGCTGGACGTTATCGAGAAGGCCATGGCCGACCCAGACCACAACATCGACAGCGGCGCCATCGCGAGGACACAGCCATCAGATGTTCAGAAGCTCATAGAGAAGCAGATCAGCGCTTCTGCCAACCTCCTTGACTTCCCCGGAGACGCAGAGGTCTTGACTATCACCAAGAGGTACATCTCCGAGATGATCGCTGAGGTTGTCGATCAGCGCGAGCTTCAGCGCCTCCCAAAGCTCGTCGGGCCCTACCTGGAGCCTTTGCTCAACGCCGGAGACGCCGACAAGGTTGCAGAGGCCGTGCACCAGTTCTACGTGGACGAGGACCACCGCAAGTTCGGCCAGCCCGTCAAGGAGGACGACGGAGAGACGGAGATTGTAAACGCTGTCTTCTCCCTAGGATACGGTGGCATGTTGCTCCTCTCACACACTAACCTTCGCCTGCTCAAGGGCCACCGCTACGGTCTTTGCGGTCGCAACGGTGCTGGAAAGTCTACCCTCATGCGCAGTATCGCAAGCGGCAAGCTGGAAGGTTTCCCTCCTCAAGAAGAAGTCAAGACATGCTTCGTCGAGCACAACCAGGGAGAAGACGCTGATCTCTCTATTCTTGAGTACATCGTTCGCGATCCGCGCTTCGCGGACGAGAGCCGAGAGCGTATCTCCGAGGTTCTCGAGGAGGTCGGCTTCACCGCTGGCCCTGAAGGCAGGCAGTCCGCTAAGGTCGGCTCTCTGTCCGGAGGATGGAAGATGAAGCTCGCTTTGGCCCGTGCTATGCTTATGCGCGCCGACGTGCTCCTTCTGGACGAACCCACTAATCACTTGGATGTCGCCAACGTTGCCTGGCTCGGAAAGTACCTCAAGTCCCATACTGAGATTACTAGCTTGATCGTTTCTCACGACTCTGGTTTCCTCGACGAAGTCTGCACAGACATTTACCACTACGAGCAAAAGAAGCTGGTCTGCTACAAGGGCAACCTTGCCGATTTCGTTCGACAAAAGCCTGAAGCCAAGAGCTATTACACGCTCTCGGACACCCAGGTCAAATTCAAGTTCCCTCCTCCTGGTATCCTTACTGGTGTCAAGTCGAACACTCGCTCCATTCTGCGCATGACAAACTGCTCCTACACCTACCCTGGCGCTTCCAAGCCATCGCTTACCGATGCTTCTTGCAACTTGTCTCTGTCATCCCGAGTCGCCATTATCGGTGCCAACGGTGCTGGTAAATCTACTCTTATCAAGATGCTTACTGGCGAAACCGTCCCTCAAGAAGGTACCGTCGAGAAGCACCCCAACTTGCGTATCGGTTACATCAAGCAGCACGCTCTTGAGCACGTCGAGATGCACATGGAGAAGACGCCCAACCAGTATCTCCAATGGCGTTACGCCAATGGTGACGATCGTGAGGTGCTCATGAAGCAGACACGTGTGCTCAGCGAGGAAGACAAGAAGCAGATGGAAACTCCTATCGATCTAGGCGACGGCTCGGGCCCCCGTAGGATCGAAGCGCTTATTGGCCGTGCGAAGTACAAGAAGACCTTCCAGTACGAGGTCAAGTGGCTGCACATGCTGCCCAAGTACAACACCCAGATCTCGCGTGAGACGCTTCTTGAGAAGGGCTTCTCCAAGCTTGTGCAGGAGTTCGACGATCACGAGTCGTCGCGTGAGGGTCTCGGATACCGTGTCCTGGAGCCCAAGGTCATCTCCAAGCATTTCGAGGATCTCGGTATGGACCCTGAGATTGCGAACCACAACGAGATCTCGGGCCTTTCCGGAGGACAGAAGGTCAAGGTCGTGCTTGCCGGTGCCATGTGGAACAACCCCCATCTTCTCGTCTTGGACGAACCCACCAATTTCTTGGACCGCGACTCTCTCGGTGGTCTCGCTGTCGCCATCCGCGACTACAAGGGTGGTGTCATCATGATCTCGCATAACGAAGAGTTTGTCGGTGCTCTCTGCCCCGAGCAGTGGCACGTCGCTGATGGTCGCGTCACGCACAAGGGCCATCTCGCTGTCAACATGGACCGTTTCGAGGACTCGCGCCCTGGATCCAGCAATGTTAGCAGTAACGTGAGCTCCGCTGCGCCGTCCACCACTGGAACTCCAGTCATGAGTGACGCCGAGGGCAACAAGGACGATATGAAGTTCAGGTCAAGGAAGAAGAAGAAGATGACCAAGAAGGAGCTCAAGGACCGTGAGGTCAGGCGTAGATTGAGGTACATTGACTGGCTGAACAGCCCCAAGGTATGTTCCCTCCCTTTCCACCCACATCGATGCAGATTGCTAACAATTTCACTAGGGTACCCCTCAGCCACCCAACACTGATGACGAGGCCGAGTAAATGTTGTTGCAACTGTTTCGGATTACGATCGCATTATGATATCTTAGACTATGCAAATTTGCATTGCTCGGCGTTTAATAGAGGCCTGGATGATTGACTGCATTTGCGTCACCGATAGATTTTGAACGTCTAGCTGCATCCTTATGATGAATCAAAAGCATTTCCTTTCTTTCAACTTGGTTGTTTCTTGACTTGCGTGAGCTTTCCTAAAACAAGGTGATCTTCATCTGGTATGACGCATGAGCGCTCACGCTACGCAATGGGGTCATGTAGGAAATTATCCCGGGCCAACACAATGCACCGGACGGTAGTTGGGTAATTGAACTCCATGGAAAATTACTGAGTCTAGCTGTACTTCTGCAGTGAATGTGCAGACGTATACTGCAAAGATGCTTGAAATGCTGTCGCAGTACCACCACTTTGTGTGCAGTGTCTTTGATGTTTTGAATACTCAATGCTTCAGCTCATACTTACTGAACGGTCGTATTTTCATCTGGCACCTTCACTTGTTTATCAGCGCGGCTGTTCGATTGGTGGGCGCGGAGCACAGATTGCGTGCAGTTCGCTCTTTCCACCTTCACTATCTCACCAATCTCACCAGTGTGCGGCCCCACCTAACGAACACTCACTCTCCGCAAGTCGAATCCTGAGAAGCCCAGGTGAGTACCGCCTCTCAACAGCTTCTGCCTAGCGTAGCAAATAACTCCAGGTCTCCTCTCGCCTTGCTCAATATAAGCCCGCCTTCCTTCTCTTCCTCTTTCCATTACCTTCTCCCCGCTGCTTCTCTCTATCAACCCCACCACACTCCCTATAGCCCATACGACCACAACGACAGAATTTGCAAGTACGCTTCCATGAAGCTCCTCACCGTCGCCCTCGCTGGACTGGTGGCGCTCGTCGCTGCCTCGCCAGTCGAGACTACCATCGCTGCTGCGGCTTCCGTGTACAAGAACGACGATGTCCACAAGTGAGTCACTTCGCCTTCTCTCGATGCCATTAGAGGGTAACATACTGATTGTCAACAGATACAAGTGCGATAGTGACAAATATGTCCTCTCTTGTCTCCGCTCCGGCACCTGCTCTTTCGTCGAGAATTGTTTCGTCAAGTGCAAAGTCAACAGCGACGGCGCCGAGTGCACCGGTTCAGCTACTGATACCAGTGTTGAGAATCAGGCTGTTGGCCGCCCTTCAGCCATGCACCTGAGCAACGACGTAGTCAAGTAGGTAACCTCCATCGCTCATCAAGAAACGTTCACTAATCTTATCGCCACAGGTACTCCTGCACCCAGGATGATTGGATCCTCGCCTGCCCCGTCAACGCTGCTTGCGCCACCATCGAGTACTGCCTGGTCAAGTGCATTGCGAACGAGCGAGGTGCTGAGTGCTCGCCCGGTACATCCGAGAAGCGTGAGATCGAATCCGAGGTCGATATCGAGGAGAAGAAGACCTACCAGTGCGCCAAGGATCGCACTGGTGTCTTGGTTTGTCAGTACGGCTTCTGCCAAACTGACCACTATTGCAACAGGGGCTGGAAGTGTCGCGACAATTGCAAGTGCTGCAAGAAGTCCAACATGTTTGCCCGAGAGATTAACGACGTCGAGACTACTGAGGTAAGTTCACAGTCTAAGGACATTCCCGCTGCCTTTCCATCTGTCTCTTCTGCCCCAATTGTTCCGACCACCACATACGGTCCTTGCAGGCGATACCAAGGAGGACTCTCATATTGTCGCGAGAGTATCTCCATGGCTTTCGTGTGCGACCCTGCCGACTACATGTGGAAGCCGATTAGCAAGTGTGCTGGTCGCGCTTGATGTATGCTGCAAGTCCTCTCAACTGAGATGCATCGTCAACACAAGAGCTTGATTTATGCTGCAAAGCGCATCGCGACAATTCGAATGCAGCTAACAAAAGTCTTTAGATTCTCGAAGTCGGCGCCAAGCGTGACGCTCCCTGTGCACCTGGAACCTATACCTGCCTGGACTCCCCCTCAACGGGTGCCTGGATCATGACCTGCGACTACAAGGGTACTTGGCAGTACTCGTCTAACTGCGGCACTCTGAAGTGCCTTTCGCGATCCGATGGAGCCGCCCATTGCTGGAACCCAGGACCAGAGTGGGACACAACTCCAGCAGTCGCCAAGCGTGAGGCTCCCTGTGCGCCTGGAACATATTCCTGCTTGGACGACGAATCAACGGGTGACGCCTGGATCATGACCTGCGACTACCGGGGCAAGTGGGTGCAGTCGTCCAACTGTGGCGCTTTAAAGTGCCTCGCGCTTTCCAACGGTGCCGCGCATTGCTGGAACCCAGGACCAGAGTGGGATACGGCGCTTGGGGCTCGCGATGACTCATCCGAGGTTCCATCGGATGCCGCTCCATCTCAGTCCTGTGAGCCTGGAACATACGATTGCACCTGGAACTCTAACACGGGCACAAGTTGGGTAATCACTTGTTCTTCGTCTGGAGTCTGGCTGTGGTCATCCGACTGTGGTAAGGGACAGACCTGTCATCGAGCAGATGACGGGAAATCTGCCCACTGTAGTCAGGGTCCGAAGTTTACCCTTAGAGCTGCAGCTTCAGCAGAGGCTTGAGTGGATTCTCAGAGAGTAGAAGGATGTGAGGGTGAGAGCGAACGGTGTTAGCGGCCTCACGGGTACGCCTACTCCCCAAAAAGCATGCAAGGCGCAGATGGCAGTCGTCAGTAGGACTTTAACCACTCTTCATGACGTCGTTTCTATAAGTCATAATGAACGAGACATTTCAGATATCTTGCTCCTTCTCTTGTGTTGCATCGTGATGTCTGATCCAGCTGTGACTGATCTATGCGAGATCCCACCCCAACCAAGTAAAACAATGAAGACCATGGAGCCTACATCACCACAAAGTCGTCCAGTTTGCTTGATTTATCCTAGTGTAGTCTGCAGACCTGTTCAGCCATTTCCTTGTATGAGGTGACCCGGTGAGCGAATAGTTGAGGATGATGTCGTGAGGCAAAAGAATGCGATCGATCGAATGCGATGTCGCTAATAGTTGGTGGCGCTAAGGATCTTATGCCGCGGATCTGAAGCTTAGCAGCTGCACAACAACGACATCGCTGCGCGCTACGTTAATCACTAAATGTCTTTGAGGTGTCTAGGAGACAGAGACGCGAAAACGCATCTATCAAGTGTAATGAAGAGATGGAAATGTAAAGTAAAGTCGGCAGGAGCCCGTCGCCAGCAAGAGACCACTTAGAAAACTGGTGGGGCGCACCCAGCACCTAGTCTCAGATCGACATCGCGCCCCTGCATACACTCGTCATACTTTAAAAGAAAACCCTCTCCCAGCTGACCAAGAAACATGCACAGTAGCGCCAAACGTCTACCGCTGTTGTGGCTTGTCAGATGTTGAAGATCTAGACTTTCCCCTCGCACTCGTCTTGTTCTCTACTCTGTACGACTTCTGCGAGCCTTTACTTTCGCTAATTGACCTTCCGCGGAGCTTTGTCTTTGCATCCAGGCAACAGCCACGATGTCTTTCATCGTCGAACACGCGAAACAGGCCGTCACCGACAAACAAACCAATGTCGTCATTTTCTCGGCCACGGCCATTGCCCTCTACGGGTATGACCAGGGTATGATGTCCCTCATCAACACCAATTATAACTATCTCTCTACCATGGGCCTCGAGGAGGAGTCACCAGTCGTGGGTGTCATTGTTGCGGTTTACTACCTCGGCTGCGCTGTCGGCGCTGTGCTCTTTTCCATGCTCGCTGATAAGCTGGGAAGGAAGAAGAGTATCTTCGCCAGTTTGGCAACAGCTAGTTTGGGAAATCTGATCATGTTCGTGGCTGGAATGGGCATGTTGGGAAAGAGCACGGATATTGCATTGGGAGTTATGCTTGCTGGACGTGTGGTGATGGGACTGGGTGTTGGAGGCATCGACGCAGTCATTCCCACCTACTCCTCCGAGTTGAGCGCCGACGACTCTCGTGGCAAAGCGCTGGCCCAGGAATTCCAGTCCAACATCTTCGGTCTCGTAATGGCGTTTGGCATTAACTTGCTCGTCACCATTCTTCTTGGAAAGCAGAACCAATGGGCGTGGCGTGTTCCCATTATTGTCATGCAGGTCTACCCCGTTCTGCTGATGGCGTTTGTTGAACGCCTTCCGGAGTCACCGCGTTGGTTCATCTTCCATGACCGCCAGGAGGATGCAAAGAAAGCGTTGGACGACATCTATGGAGATGAGGGCAAGGAGAAGCTTGATGAGCTGCTCGAACAGCATGAGAAGGAGAAGGATGTCAAGGTTGGATACATGGATATGCTCACCCCCGGTCACGAGCAGTTCCATCCCACCATGGTTACGGTAATGTGCCAGGTCAACCAGGCGCTTACGGGTTACGGTGCAGTTAGTGTGTACGGGCCGCAGATTTTCGAGGTAAGTTGTGTCCATGATCAGAGCGGTACGCTTTTGGGACAATACTAACAGGTGAAAACAGCTCCTAGGCTTCTCAGTCCGCAACTCTGAATACCTCACCCTTGGCAACTACGTGTCCTACTTCTTCCTCATGACGCTCGCTTGGCTCTTGATCGATGCTATGGGCCGACGCAAGATCATGATTCATAGTTCTGTAATCCTCGCCACCTCGTTCGCACTTCTCGGCGTTTTCGGTGGACTAGCAGCAAACTCTGAGCCCATGAACATTCCCATTATCATCCCCGGAATCATTGGAACGGTCATTCTTTTCGTGGCCACCGGCGCTTTCGGCATCGGCTGGCTTTCAACCGTCTGGCTATTCCCCACAGAAGTTTTCCCTACCACCGCACGCGCTCAAGGTACCGCCATCTCAGTCATCATTTGGGGCCTCGCCAACTTCGCCATCACCTTCCTTACGCCTGTTCTGTTCAACAACCTCGACTACTGGATTTTCGTCGTCTTCGCTGCAACCAATGCTTTCGCTGGGCTATGGACGTACTTCTACCTCCCAGAAACTGGCGGCAGGACTTTTGATGAGAACATGGACTTCTTCAAAGAGGCGGGCGAGCAGGGAACATGGAGGGTCGGCAAAGTGGGCAAGGGCGAGTGGAAGAAGATGTACTATCCCGATGCTGAGGGAGGAGATGCCGTAGAGGCGGAACGCGTACCGCTGTTGCAGAGGGTGGAAGACCAAGTTCCTAGCGTAGAACAGTCTAGAGAGCCAAGCCAACAGCGGGGACAGTAGAGAATGGAAGCCCATCCTTCTATGACGCGGGGGTTCCTCGAAACCTCCGCGGGATAGTAAAAGCGGAGCAAAAGGTAAGTTATGCTGGTCAACTTTACTCAGGGCTGCGCTGACGTCACCATCAATAGTTATTACATCAACTAGCATTAGAATGAACATCCATTTCTTCAAGACTTCCAAAAAATATCAATACGTTGATCTCCATGATGTTCCTGGTTCATGCTCGACGTTCTGCCCCACAAACTAATATACACGATATAGCCATCCCGGTTACGGAGAATACCCGGCATCTACATGGTCCAAGTACCGACCACGAGCCACGACTATTAGATTGAAAGCGATCAAAATTCCTTGAAAATACCGTCATGGTTCTGCACATAATTTGTTGCCAAGAGGCTAAACGATCTTCATACACTCTGTTCATAAGTCTTGCAGACTCCGCAAGATGGGCGCGACACTTCGTTATCTTCTATGTCCACCGCCAAGATGCGTTCACTAACGTATAGAATTGCGCTCTGCATCTTTGTAGCCAGCGCTACAAGCTTTGCGACGGCGCAAAGAACAGGCGCACCGTCCGACTCACCCCAGGACTCTGACATCTATCAATCCTCCTACCTCGGCGGTGAGCACAACATCGATCCCTCCGACGTCCCAGATTTCACGCAACTCTGGAATGCAACCTTCAACCCGGACGAGAAAGTAAATTGTTATCTCTGCATCCCGCCTCTTCCCCAACATTGACACCACCACAGCACTGGGCGCGCCCCCTCGTTCACACACTCTCCTCCACCGGCCGCCAAATCGTCCTCACCGCATCCACCGAGAACCGCATTAGAACCTTCGATGCAGAAACTGGGCAGCTTCTAAACGAACGTCAAGTCGCTCTACCATGGCCAATGGACCAAGCCTACTGCACAACGCACGTCAGCAAAACACTGGGCATCATGGGCACACCCGTCATCTACCGCGAAGACGGCAACGAAATCGCATTTTTCTACGTCAAGAGCTACATCGAAGACTACAGACAACCAGGCGGCGCGTATCCGCCTCTAAACTCGGTCTACTATCTCTACGGCGTGTATCTGGACACACTACAGGATCTCTACAAATACCCCATGATCATCGATGGCCAACCTTCCGATAACGACATGCGCAAAACCTTTCTCGGCGGTTTGGTGTTACAGCGACCGGCGCTGCTGCTGCTGGGCGATGTGCTGTATGCGGGATTCGGCGGACTGTGCGATGCGTTTAATTATACAGGAAGCGTTGTCGCTGTTAATCTCGCGACGCAGAATATGTATACTTGGACGACGCAAGCAGGAAACGCGAGTTTGTACAACGACGACTGGACGGCGTGGCATGGTGGTGGTGCTGGTGGTATCTGGCAGGCTGGCGCGGGTCTCTCGTCGGATGGTAAGGACGTCTTCTTCACGATTGATAATGGAGGTGGGTCAACTGCTACGACGCTCGATGTTACGCCGAGGAAGGGTCACGAGCCTTTGGGTGTTCTCTCGGAGACTGTGGCGCGTATTACGCTTGATGAGGCGGGTGGTGCGGGGATTCAACTTGTTGATTTCTTCCGCCCGTCGGATTGGCAGACGGATTCTGGACAGGACATTGGGAGTGGGGGGTTTGCTGTCCTTGATGGCGATGTGTTCAAGACTAAGGATGGGAAGAGGATCGGTATAGCGACCTCTACGAACCCGAAGATGTACGTGACGGAAGTTGACAGCTTGGGCGGATATCTGCAAGGCACAAACGGCACAGACGGAATCCTGCAGACCATTCCTTTAGAAGGCGAGGTCTTTGGTGCGATTGGATCTTATCCGCTAGAAGGTGGTTATGTCTACGTCAACCCTGGCAACACCGCCTTGTCTGCCTACGCATTCACTCCGAACGCATCGTCCTCGCTCTTCAGCTTCGCTGGCAAGTCCTCTGAAACAAACGGACATTGGGGCGGTGCTGGCCTTCCGACTGTCACCAGCAACAAAGGTCAGCCTGGTACAAGTATCGTGTGGGCCACGGATGTGCAGGCCGGTCTGAGAGCGTTCAAGGCGGTGCCGGTTAATGGGACGTTGGTTGAACTGCCGCTGCCGAAAGTGGAGGGTGCGGTGAAATTTGGGCGACCGGTGTTTGGCGATGGGAAGGTATTTGTGGTTGACGGTCAGGGACGCTTGATTGCGTTGGGGAGGAAATAGTAGGCGTAGACGTAGATGCAGTAGTAGTGGGAGCAGTACATGGAGTGAAAGAGAAAGGAAGAGGAACTGGCTGCATCCACAAAGGGAGCGTGTCCATATTCGAGTCGAATGAAGTTGACCTTGTGGTGTATCCAGAGACTGCATCCCCATCTCCAATCCAGAGCTTTTGAATTGTCTCTAAGATTGCTGCCTTGGCCCTCTAGGGCTTACTCGGTGATCTCGGACATGTCTTTCGGCGTTAACAGCGCCATCCCAGGCGAAATCATCAAATCCGCCTCTGCATCCCGCCTCATCTTCGTCTCACACTCCCAGGCAACAGCATAACAGCCAGCATCGGCCTTTGGAAAGAGCGCGACCCGCGATTTTGCTGTCGGACATATAGACGTATAGCCCGGCTGTCCATGTCCACCAACGAGAGTGAACGCGCACAGACCCCCCACCCGCTGTATCATGTCGGCTCCGAGGATCTCGTTCGCTGGTCCCTCTGAAACTAGTCCAGTTTGACCATTAGCGCCACCAGCTGATGTGTGCACAACATGTGCATGAGGTGTTGGTGTGAGGGGGCGGTTCTTGATATAAAGCTTCCCTAGACGTTGTGGCTCCCATAGTTTCTCATTCAATCCCCTCATTTCACAACCATCAAAATCTCAGTCTTGCCACGGTCTTCGCCAACGTGAGAGACGTCCAGGTTATCGTCCGAGCAACATCTAGAACCTTGTTGTACCTAAGCATATCTCTTCGGACCAATCACAGCATACGTGTTTGTGAGCAAGCAGCGAAAAGAGGCGTAACAGGGCGAACGGGGATTATATAAACAAAGCACCGGACCGACTTCGACTTTGAGAATCAACATCGACGTCGAGATTACAGCCTGCAAGAAAGAGAAGAAGAGCGACACCATCCCATCAACAAACGAACCCCGATATGTCGACCACACACCTCACAATTCACGATCTCCTCCGCATAACATATACTTACGAAATGCGCGCCCTCGAAGCACAAGCACAAGCACACGTGCAGCCTCGACCGCGCTCGGATTCAGCTTGCTCGGTAGGTCTCAAGTTCATGGACGAGAGACGCGGAATGGTAAAGACTAACAACATACAGATGCCAGAAACATGTGCCCACCTCTCATCACCCACCCCCACCACCCCCGAACACGCCATCTTCGAAACCGACTTCACAGAAAAGTACTGTCGCAAAAGCCGTCGAGCTTGAAAAGGCCTGTACTGTTCTGATTAGAAGACCATTCGACATGTGATTGCGAATAATACGCCACCAGCACTACCACCACGCTATTAGACCGCCAGAACGCCAGAACGCCAGAACGCCTTTCACCGGAAACCTTGTCACCACGGTACTACACCAACTTCCTCATTTCGAACTCGATGACGACGAGCGCATCATCGCTTTTCTATCCGCGCTCATGCCCATGCGCAATGTAGTGGACTTGTTTGCGCGTCCCGCCGCATGAGGCTTGCATGTGCTGCATGATGGGTGTGTGAATCGGTCCGACTGCGGGAGTGATCATTGGCCGCGGGAAAGAGGAGCTGACGTCGCGTGGGGAAGGCGAGGAGGTGAGGGACATAGGGTTTTCCGCGCATGCGCTTCAAGCGCTGGAGTCGTATGACATGCGGTGGATGCAGGAAGGGGCGATCCAAGACTTGGGATTTGTGGAGTAGTGTTATTATAGTTTACTGGAGGCGATGCAATATACCCCTTATTTCTTCACGTAATTGACATGTCTTGAAGCTTGGGTTTGTATGACCTTTCATGACTTCGTGGTGTTGCATGTGATTTTGTCTGATAATTTAAAACTATCAAGTCCGTTACCATGCTTGACCATATCCACTTACCGCAATATGACTTGGTCTTAGAGACTCCCGCTCGACTGTTGCACGTCGCGCATGTAGCACCCTGCGCTTGATCTTGTAACCATAAAGCCTACGTTTGCAAATATGCAGAAGCCTTTCCAAACCCGATTGAAGCCTGTGTTGATAATGAAAAATCTGCCTCTTGCATCGAAGACAGCGAATACTATGTCGCTCTTCTACGTTCACCAGTAGTAGCTTTGTCAGGTGATGATGATGGCGATCGCGAGAGTAGCGGTTATTGCATGCCGCGGGAGTGCCCTATGAACGCTAAGAGCGGTATTTGCAACTAAGGCAGTATGCTGTCCCATTTCTGCGCGCGATTCATCGCAATTACTTCTTCCCTTCTTGAAGGATTGCAGCAGCTGCGCCAGCTTGCTAGGTAATGGTGGGAGTAGCAGACGCGTTGTCAGGAGTACGTGATACCGCAAGCTGAGCTGCAAAGCCAACAATAACAGCGCAGACTCTTCTGCAGGAGCCTAGAAAGCTCGCCATGCTTGGGAGCGAAAAGAGAGGGGCGTCTAAAGGCAGAGACAGCTCTCGCAGTTGCCAGAGATAGCTGTGCGATGGGTGTAGCGATGCACCAAAGTGAGGGCGTTGCAGCGGAGCTCGCAAAAAAAAGGGCAAAAAGAGACAAACCAGCAACAAGTATACGTATAATCAGCGACAGCCTTCGATCCACAGTATATTCCTATGTCAGAACAACTGGCAAAAAAAGGTCGGGGCACATAGTGCAATATGCTATGCGAAGTGAAAATAATCAAAAATCAAATGGCAAAAAGAAATAACATCCACTTACCTGATGCCCAACTTCAATACCCAGCCGATCCCATGGGGAATCGACTTACCGCACGTTGTCGATTGCCGGAACCTCTAAAGAAAGACAAGACGTACCTTGACCAGATCCTAGACCGCTGAGCCGATTCGTTTTGTATACCGAGAATGGTCGCCCGGTTTGATTTGATGGAAGATAGTGGTTTTAATTGATATGTATACCCCAAGGACCTCAGATTGGGTGGGTCCAATGGCATTTTGGATTCGGGGCGGCGACGTAGGCGATTCGCTAAGGCGGGGCGACAACAGGGTTGCAGGGAACCTCTAGACGATGAGGAGCACCAGGTCTGCGTTGTAATTCTTTATCTGATGCTCGACTTTGTTTGGGTAGCTGCTCTGCTGCTTGAGACTCTTCTCCGCGACCACAAGCTTGACTCCCTCCCATCTCCTTGACTAGATCGTCCTGCGCCAACGTTGAGCTGAATTGGACCTCGAATTCACGAGAGCTCTATCCCAATCACCCCCAGTGCAGCTTGTTGGGGTGTTGCATCTCATATGGCCCAGTGGTGAGCCTTGGCGCAAGTTTGGCTTGATACTGCCCTCCCTCGACGGCAGCAACACCACCATCACGCCACCTTTGCGCACCCGAGTGACATACTAATGCTCGGGGGAGATATAGCATCCAGCTCCTGCAAATAGAAGCGGCATTGCAGATGTTCAATCTGCCTCTCTTGCGGACCTCCGGGGCGGCGGCAGCGCTGGGCAGCACCCAGCAAGACACCCACCAAGCCGGCAACCACCTCGAGCAGCCTGCATACCATTCTGCAGGCAAGCGGAAACGGTACTCAACACCCTCGTCGCAGCAGAGATATCGCTCATCCAGCCTGCGCCCGTCGTGGACATCCGGCGCAACGGCAAGTTTTCAACACCATTCGGTATGACACACAATGGGCCAGCGCTCAAGTCGCAAGACTTCGCTGACTCTGGCAAGCCTTCAGGGAACTATTGGATAGTCTGCAAAGCTCCCTGCTCGCGACGGCGGCGGCGATCCCTCGAACGAGATCCCCGCGATCATAAGTATCTCTCGTCTTCTGGCGGTCTCCTTCGCGCCGCTCGGCTACGATGACAGCAATACGCATTGCTCCACCAGAGGGTGTGGGACAGTATCGCCAACAGACAGAGCAAATGCACATGACCATCCGTGCGAAGAGCTCCTTTCTCAAGGCTGCCTGAAGGCCGCATTCGCCACAACGGACTCCACGGGGGTTTCCAAGTGGACCAACGAGCGTACAACACCATTCTCGCAGTGATTTGGGGCAGACAAGAATAGAGACTGAGGAAGACAAGGGGCATTCACACCCACCTCAGGTAAGGTAGGAGAAACTGTTACCTCTGAACCTCGGAGCGCCTTCGGAATCGCCTGCACTCAACCCGGATCCCCAGGGTTGAGGACTCTGATGAAGACGTAGGCTTGCGAAGACTGATAGTGCTGTGACAGCAGATGCTCGACATGCACGGCATGAACCCTGGCCCTTCCTCGAAGACTTGAGAAAAGTCGGGCGCTCCTTCCGCACAATGCGCGCTCCAGCCGTACGCTACCACAACTCGAATGTATTGAGAAGCCGCGAAGCAGGACACCGTATGACCCGATCTCGAAAACCACCCCTCGAGGCATCTGCGGCGATGCGCAAACGGCTGTTGTAGCAGATGGATATTGGGCTATCGCAACGACACAGTAGGAGTCTGCATCGCTCACACGCTGGTTAAGGGCAGGACCGAGAGGCTAAGGACCGAGGGAACACACCCCCATCAAGGAAGGATCATCGTATGATCGAAAGTATAAAGGCGCTGCGAGCGCTGGATCTGGAAGGCTGGTATGCTGGCCAAATTCTTGGACAAGGAAGAGAAACGATCTAAGGACATCTTCAGGCGTCGAGGAACAAAGATTTGAAGACCAGAAGGCCAACGGTACAAATGGGTAGTAGAAGGTATGAGCGGAGACTTCGAGTCTCCTGACCGCTTACCATGGGTAGGTAACCTCTGGTTGAGCCTCTTACCCACTTCGCATAGCAACCTTCTCTTACCTGAACAACGGCCCTCGACGCAAACGCAAGCGAACCGAACCTCTTCGACAAGAAGGATGGAATATCCTGGCGACAAGGGCAAAGTATTGGCAATATGCACGAGGTACTATTACCTTACCTCGGTCGGCCGAATCGGCGAGGTCTGGCACAACGCTTGGCTCGAGTACTGAGTGTCTTTCCTCGACGCTTGGCTCGAGTCGTCTGGGTTGTCTGATGATATGCCAATTGCTTCGCAGCAACGGATCAACAGATTGAAGAAGATGTACATGTCCTTCGAAACATCTGCTCAACACCCGAGAGCGTCAAGACAGTTTCATGAACCGCATGCATAGAACCCTCACATCCACTATGGCAGTGTCTCGGGCTAGTCTAGT